AAATTCCAGATTTCATCACTGATATAAAGATTTATTAATATAGTAAAAAAATATCATCAATGAATCTTTCGATAAAAAACCTAACGGTCCTTTCGTAAAATTGTCCGTTGCAAAAAATACTGTTTATTATGTAATACATTTTGTGTTCAATGTACGCAATGAATACCGATTACCGATGATTGACTTAATAAAAGGCGACCCTGGTTGCGTGGAGGCAAAGTAGTTACAGAATATTGTTGCAAAAACAGCGGGGTACAATTATGCTCGTAGAATCGGCCATTGCATCGATCAGACTTTAAGGAGCACCATAAAAAACGTAAAATAGGTCATTCCACGTAAAAAAAAGATTTCGTATCATTCCATCCACTTTATAGGTCATCGTTTATGGCTGTTTGCTAGCAGTAAAATCATTTCACCTGTGCAAATAATCTGCGAAGCTTTTGTAATCGGCGTATCATGTAAATGACCCTTTTAAGGTAATTCGAGTGTTTAATCAATTCTATAAATGACAAGGAGCATTGGGCCCGCTTTTAGAATTGTAAAACGAGTCAAGTTAGAATTGTAGTTTTATGCGGGCCTGTGGTAGTGAGTCACAATACACGCCAAGGACGTTTACGCGTATCGTCTTTCACAATTGTCTTCGTCGACGAGCAATCGTTATCTCTTCTTCCAGACGATTAATCCGTTAATTAAGGAAGACGGGGCGCAATTGTTATTTACGAATTAATCCGAGGAATACTAATTGAAAGATCAGTAAATTACTACACAAATTCTTAACTGATCTGGGGCATGACATTCGCTTAGAAAAAAAACAACGGATCTATTTTGCATACCTGTTTAATTCAATTATCGCGTGCAGAATTCCAGGCAGAATAATTGACCTCGAAACTCGCTTGCGGATAAATCTGTACCAGCGAATATTATTGGTTTCCGGGCCTCTGCGACTGAAATATAAATGGCTAAAGTTTCCGTTCCTAGATTGTTTAAAAATAATTCGTTTTATGGTTTTATTTCATTTATATTAACATTCTGTTGCGTCTCGATTAATTTGTAATTGTTTCGTTAGAATGATTATCGAAACGAGATGATATTTTCGAAACGAGATCGTTCGAGAATAAATCATTTGATAGGGAAGATTCATTGTTATTAATTTATACGTTTCGCTTGTTAAATAGATCAAGAGCTGTTCGTGTCGCGATCCCCTGCCAAGGCGAAGAATGTTTTGAGGTCAAGGTTCAAATAGCCGTAGTCGAATACGTACGGAGATTTATTTTGATGCCTAGAAAAAATATGTTATCGCATCAATCATCACGGAAATGTTATTTCGGCACAATTGTGTACTGAAAGTAGACGACGCGTTCACAGAGTGTTATTCTAGAGATAATTAGTCCGGCGATATCGTATTTTCGTTAGGTAAATGAACGTTATCTATTTCTTGCAGTGATACGACATACAAGGATCAAAGTATCAAGTCCATTGCTCTATATCACTCCATGCGCGTAAATAATCGTCAAAATAACACAAATAATCCAAAAGATGCAACATTTTTGAACACACTCAATGCAACTGCCGTAGAAATTTAGAATGTACAAAGCTGTCTAACAAAATAATTTTTCATCACAGATCAAGTGGTATTTGTTCAGGGAGCAGCGGCGACACCCGTCGAACTCCTAAGGGCTATGACTGATTATGGTGTACGGTGCGATGTGAGGAATGTTAGATTATATCATATGCACCTCGAAGGCCCTGCACCGTTCGCCAAGCCAGAAAATGCAAGTATGTTATTACCATAGTTCTCTCATTGCCAGTGTAATCGCAATTCCTTTGACACGTTCCCTGCCAGACCATTTTTGATTTTTTTTACTTCTGGAGTATGCCTTACAATGATCAAAATAATGCAAAACAAATGTGTATAGTTTAAGACGCGTAACACAAAACAATAAGTTTATTTTTTTAGGATTCATTTTAACAAATACCTGGCTGAACATTACCGCAGTCGCATCCTCGCACATATTTTTTTATGATGTTTATATTAGTTTAAAATAAAACATTTAGTCGAAGTATATTTAATACTATATTTTTGTGACAAGTTTGTGCATGATACATTTTTAATAAATTCTTCATTTTACAATGACAATACCCAATGGCTTGAACGGAAAGTTCACGGAACGTGTTGATAAAAACCATAACTTCGATACAGCAAGCTAAAGTACTCAGGATCATTACTCGATCAGAAATCATTGAGCCCATTCACTGAAAGCGTTTTATTCTCTAGCAATGCTCTTATGTATTACGATGCTTCGTATACAGAACATTTCAGGTCGGTGAGCCTGTTCATCGGAGGCAACGTGCGAGCGGCCGTCCAAGCGGGAACCGCCGATTGCGTGCCGATCTTTCTCCACGAGATTCCACGGTTGTTCAAGGAAGGTCACATCAAGCCGGACATCGCGCTGGTCCACGTCAGCCCCCCGGACGACAAAGGATTCTGCTCGTTCGGCACCAGCGTGGACTGCGTCAGGTCCGCCGTGAGCCATAGCAAATACATCGTAGGTAAATTTTCGAATTTTCCAACTTCCGTCGCCGCCGTCACCCAGTACGAGGTACCAGTCGGTAAATCCTTGTTGCGGTTCTGTAGCGCTGGTGAACAAGCACATGCCCAGGACGTTCGGCGACGCCATCATTCACGTGAGTCACCTGGACTTCGCCGTGGAGCACCACAAGCCGCTTCCGGTCCACCCGGTGAAGCCGCCGTCTAAGGAAGAGCAACAGATCGGTAAAAACATCGCCGAGAACCTAGTGGTGGACGGGGCTACTTTGCAAATGGGCATCGGCAGCATACCGGACGCGGTGCTGTCGGAACTCAAGAACCACAAGGACCTCGGGATTCACAGCGAGATGTTCAGCGACGGCGTGGTCGACCTCGTGAACAGGGGCTGCATCACGAACAACAGGAAGACGATGCACAGAGGCCGAATCGTCGGCTCCTTCTGCGTCGGCTCTGAAAAATTGTATGACTTTATGCACAATAATCCTTTCATTGGTAAGTGAATATTCAAGAACATTCCTGAAGCAGGTTCAAGTAGAATCTTACCGTGGTTGCTGTTACAGAAATGTTGGTGGTGGACTATGTAAACGACCCCAAGGTGATAGCTAAACAGCCGAACATGACAGCCATCAACTCGTGCATCGAGGTTGACATCACTGGGCAAATCTGCTCTGACAGTATCGGGACAAGGATGTACTCCGGCTTTGGAGGGCAGCTGGATTTCATCACTGGAGCAGCGATCAGCGACGACCGTTGCGGCAAGCCTATCATAGCTTTGCAATCCGTCACCGGCAAGGGCGAGAGCAAGATTTCACCGGTTTTAAAATTAGGTTCATATCAAGTCGATTTGTTTTGTGCTACTGTTTTCAGTGTGTTAATCTTCTGTGTGGTTTGAAGGTGCCGGCGTCGTCACGAACAGAGCAGTCGCTCGGTACGTCGTCACGGAACACGGGATTGCCAGTTTGTTCGGCAAAAGTCTTCAGCAGCGTGCGTACGAACTGATCCAGGTCGCCCATCCCGATCACAGAGAGGCTCTCGAGAAGGCAGCGTTCGAACGCTTAAAAGTCATGCCAGCGCCATAAACGTTTCCACGGAAGCGACACCGAAAGACTTTTCTAATAGCATTTCGCGATATTTGCCGTTACCCGCACGCATAAATACTTATCCGTGTCGGAACAAACATTATACATTCTTAACTTCGTGTAATTTACGCCTCCCTGCCCAGTGTAAGAGTAATTTACAGAATACCGGGGAATAATCTATAACGTACATAAGTAGATACATTTTGAATAAACACGAGAAGGCCTCTTGTTCTCGGATAGGCGAGGAAGCATTAAGGTCCTTGAAGGAACACGGAAAAGCTTTTATTTTAAACGAGTATTTCACGTTGGCTGGGCAGAGAACGTTGTATAATGACGACAGATAATTTTTATATGAAATTTTAAAGAGGTTCCTTTATGTAATGCAATCACTGTAACGACTAAAGACCGCGTCGCATTTCAAGGAATAAATTCAAGATGGAATGTACGCACGCGTGATTATTTCATTATTAACGCGTTAAGCGCCGCGAAAATCTTACGATTGTTACGGTTGCTTTTTAGTCGTTCAGAAGCGTCAGTCGCCAATGACCGACATGGCGCTTAACGTGTTAATATACACATATACTTTATTTTATTCTTCGCCGGTGTTCCACGCGCTACGGGGTGTCGGGAAATCCAACGACACGCCGCGCTGCACGAAGAGAGTTGAAAAATCGAATACCGGCATATGCGATGTTCAAATAGTTCTCGTGGAGATGACAACGGATCCGATCCAGATCTGGCGTGAAGTGACATCTGAAACCAGCGAAACCGTTTAGATTCTATGCTCTCCAAATTTTCATGTAATTCCAGTATACGTTCGTCATGCCAAAATGTTTGGACTTAATTTCCGGCGAAATTTAGAGTCACTGCATTCAGCGTTTGCCAAATTCATGCCGAAGAAACACCTCAGCGCGTGCGGCGGTTTGAAGTACATACGCGAACCTCTGCAACCGTTGAAACGATGTCCACGATGGGTTTGCGTGGAAGACGCAGTGAAAATTATAAATTCAGGTACTTATAGCGATTTCCAAAAACGTTGAGCAATTAAGAGTCATTGCGTGCGTCAGTTCACAGAGACTGAAATTAACAGAAGCTATCTTTATGCATTATGCATACACAGACGTGCGCTGACCATTTTGAATAATTTAAAATACATTGTTCGCTTGTAATACATTTCCGTGATTATTCATGGGACATTCTTCTTTCCAGAGCATTTGGTTTTCATACAAGGAGGTGCAGCGACGCCTAACGAATTGATACGTGCCATGACGGAGCATGGTGTCTGCAACAATCTCCGCGGGGTGCGATTGATTCACATGGGCCTCGAAGGAGACGCACCGTTCTCGAGTCCTGAATTTGAGAGTATGCTATTCCGCAATTGTTAACGGTCCTTCCATCCCCTGATACTAATACAACTGATCTTTTTCCAGAACACTTTAGATCCATAAGCTTTTACATTGGAGCGAACGTCAGGGAAGCCGTGAACGAAGGTCGTGCGGATTACATTCCAATATTCCTCCACGAAGTGCCGAAATTATTCTACGAGAAAAGAATCGTCCCGGACGTTGCACTGATACACGTCAGCGTGCCGGATGCGCGCGGCTTCTGTTCCCTGGGTGTGAGCGTGGACTGCACCCGAGCAGCTCTCAGTTCGGCCAAAGTGATAGTTGGTCAGTAATTAATCGTCGAATTCCGATGAACGGTAACACCCTTTAAGAAAATATTGGAATAAGAATTTCTTTGATGATTCGACGCAGCCCAGGTCAATGAACACATGCCGAGATCATTCGGGGACACTGTCATTCATTGTAGCCACATCGACTGGGCTGTGAAGTACGATTGCCCCTTGCCATGTGTGGCGAGTACTCCGCCGAATGAAATTGAGGCGGAGATTGGCAAGATCATAGCGCAAAGGCTGGTGGACGATGGGGCCACTTTGCAGCTCGGTATAGGCAACATCCCTGACGCTGTCCTCTGTTCTCTTGGAAACCACAAAGACCTCGGTGTTCACACGGAGATCATGGGCGACACGATGGTAGACCTCGCGGAACGTGGAAATATTACCAATAAAATGAAACCTAAGCACAGAGGACGCATGGTTAGTTCCTTGGCAATCGGTACCAAAAGGGTATACGACTTTGTGCATAATAATCCGTTCGTAGGTGCGTCTATCATGTTCCGCAGCCTTTGCACACGTTCCTCGTTCTATCTTGTAAATGATCTGGAATGCTTCGTTTCTACAGAAATGCTGACAATTAATTATGTAAACGATCCTCGGGTAATATCTCAACAACCGAAAATGACGGCTATTAATTCCTGCATAGAAATGGATATTACTGGCCAAATCTGTTCGGACAGTTTAGGGTGTAAGATGTACTCCGGTTTCGGCGGACAACTCGACTTCATTCGGGGCGCTGCATTGGGCCAAGACGGTCGGGGGAAAGCTGTGATCGCGTTTCCCTCGGTTACCAGCAAGGGCGAAAGTAAAATCCAGCCTGTACTTAAAGTTGGTATGGAATCAGAGAGAAGATATTTGTTGAAGTTGGTTCGTGTTCGTTGAATACTATGCTAATTGAATAATGTAATCGTTTATTGAATAGGTGGTGGAGTTGTAGTGACAAGAGCGCATGCACATTATATTGTAACAGAGCATGGGATAGCACAACTTTTTGGCAAGACGTTGCGTCAAAGAGCTAATGCGTTGATTCAGATTGCCCATCCCGACCACAGAGAGTGTCTCGAGAAGGCTGCATACGAAAGACTTAAAAGTAATCCAACAAAGTATTTATAGTTCGCATGTACAAACGTGTAAGCTGCACATTACAGGATGCATTGCCCAGAAACTAGATCTCACCGTTTCAATATTTCAAGTGTAAGTTGCTAAATTTTATTGCTATATAATTTGTAATGTAAAATGTTCTTTTATACTCTATTTAAGGAAACAGTTATACACGCATTTTGAATAATTTAATTTAAAAGACATGTATACAAAATAAATATGTACAAACATGGTAGAAGGTTTCACTTACATCGTACTCTTAGATTCTCTTAATCGAAATTTATGCCTTCGGGTAATGTCCCTTCTCGCCTCCTCTTTTCCACGTTTTCATAGTACTCGGAGAAATCAACGTAAGGTTTAATCCTAGCGTTTCTATCGGCCGGCTTCGCTCCGGGTGGGTACATGTCCGACGTTGACGTGTCGCTCGTCGATGCATCGAAATTCTCATCTGTAACTCCTGTACTCGAATAATCTTCGTTCTCTGACATCGTCGTTATCGAAGCAGTCTCAACGATTGGATTGAACCTGACTGACTGATTAGTTGGACTTTTTAAGGCGTGAGGAAGCGGGAAATTAAAATTTCGCACGAGAAGTGTTATATCGTCCCGTTTACCAGTAGTCAGTGTACTTTGAGAAGTACTCATATTAACGTCATGATGAATCCTTACAATTTTGTCCACGACGGCTTGAGCAACTCCAGTTAACGTAGATTGCACGCGAAACTGAAATTTGTTTCGTGAAACTTACTGTTAGATAATTGTTTAATTATGCATAATCATTTTATACCTGTTCAACTGCTATAAGTGCTAATTCTTTGTTGACTTGATCGGTACCGGTCGCTTCTTCCAATGATTTATAAAGACCACGGGACATTAATAATAAAAACCTGCACGACTCGTCGAGCTCTATTCCACCATGAATTTCAGGCTCGGCAATAATGGGCTCTGCCGTAGCAGTAGCTAATTCCTCGAATTCTCTGTATCCGCCTTTAACAAGGTAATTCCCAAGGCAACGTGTATTTTCTTGATTTCCAAGATGAGATCCTTTAATATAAATTCATGATAAGTATGAATTAATTAGAATATAAAGTAATACTTGAATTCTGTGTTATCAGTCACCTTGTCTTATGGAATCAATATCTAGTCCTAAGTGAGATAATCGTAATAATTCATCCTCGTTCCGTAAATCGTGATCAACGCTTAACTGTACAACCCTTAATACTTGATTACTGTCCGTTTTACATAATAAAGCTCTGCTATCACCGACATTTGCAACGTACAATCTTCCACCATATACAAGAGCTACAACTGCACTAGTTCCTGTTGATAGCTCACAATTTAATGAGTTCAATTTATCAACCTGTATAAATATATTCCTTGATTTGTTATCATCAAGAAGAAAATAAGATATGAATTCTACAATGTCTCCAAGGAAGCTTAATCAATAAATTGGACTAACCAAGTGGGGGAATTTTTGATAAGCTTCGTATGAATTTAAACCATCAGGTATATCGAACTGCAAGCTAGCACGTACAGCTAAAAGATCACCAATAGAATCTAGATATCCTCGTTCTACAGCTATAAATGCCTGCCTGAAAGAATAAAGAATAAATTAATAATCATCAAATATGAATATCTGTTTAGTTATTATTACAGATTTTTATATATTACCGTAGAACTTCTTTAATTTCCTCATCTGTTGATTTACCATTCAACTGACCCAGCAATATCTCTGCAGCCATTCTTTGCATAGCAAAGTTTGCTGCTTTGGTTCCTTCGTGTCCATCGAATACTCCATAAAGGAATGTTGAATCATCATAACGACAATGAAAGCTGCGATCTTCGAATGGGTGCTCCTCTTGTCTATATCCATCCTCGCGATAAATTTGATTTGTTGAAAATCCTACTCCTAAATAATATGCATATTCGAGTACTGTGCAATGTCAGAATAATAGACTCATACATTGCTGCTTTTTACTGTCTACTGATGATAACAATTTAGTAAACAAACAAAAATCATAATTATTTTCATTGATCTATAGCTTACAAAAGTACCAGTACAAATCATTTTCAACTCAGTGTTGTGTCGAAGTATTATACTATTATTATTGACAGAAAAAACTAGCAATGTGTATATGTTATTTTCTGGTCGCAATATAAACATTAGCATAATCCATTTTGAAGGTTATGTTTAACAGCATAGTAAACGGTTACGCACCAGATTGTTTGCAAACCGGCAAATCGTCCGTCCAACTGTATTGAGTATCCTGAAAAGGCATTAAATTAGGGCGTTCTGCCCTAGTCGGCATTATTAGAAATATAAATTAACTTGGACGATCAATTCAACTGATATAAAATATACAGACTTACGTTTGCAACATATCAATCGAGTATCGATTCACGTCAGCTGAACGTATCGAAAACTCTGTAACAATCGATTAAACTTAAATTTTGAATAGCTACCGCAAACTGCAAGATTTATCTATTCAATTTCTATACAGTATTCAGATTTTCTGTTACCGATTATAGTTACATGTACATTCTTAGGATGCAAATAAATGTCACACGAAATAAAATCCTCCGAAATTTCCACTTTTTCTTTCTACAAAATATGTTACTATACTATCAAAAACAAAAGCAATTCCTATCACAAATTCTTATCCTACCTGCCAAATTACATATGGTTTAGATGCCGTTAACAAAATAAAATTCTCGTAACTAATAAACTAACATAAAATTTACCATCATCGGATATGCATCTGTACATACGAATTATGGATCATTAATGTTATGAAATACTTGTAATATGAAGACCTGACAAATTACCTGCGAAACATTAACAAAATTAACGTTCATCATCGAAAAGTAACATTTAATCAGGTTATTATACGTTACATTCTCATGTCCAAGTTCTATTTGCTAATAAATAATACTTTCTATTGTTATATTTACACCTTTGACAAATTGGACATACCGTAATAAATTATAACAAAGCATTTACCTCTTTGTAATTTTATAAAAATTTTGTAAAGTAAAAATGAGTCGACCTACGCGGGCCACCGGCGGTCTAACGAAGACGCAACAGCTTCGCGAAGCAAGGACAACTGCTTTAGTGAGAGAATTGCAACAAAAAGAAGAAGCAGCGGCAAGACATGCAGCAGATCCATTTAAGCCGCGTAAACGGATAACGCGTGAACCAAAAAGAGTAGACTTCCATAAACCAGGAATGACCAAAGCGATGATAGCTAGAATGAAACAAGCAGAAAAATTTAAACAAGATTACGAGCGCAGAACGCGGGGTGACCAAATGCCAAGAAGAACACCTGCTCCAATAGGAGGTGATGCCAGGTCATGATAGTTATCAAACTTGATTTAAGCAAATGAGACCTGTCAGATAAATAAACACTATTGATTTCATTATTAAATAAACTAAAATATATCTATGATATGTGATTTCTATTACCATTTGAAAAACAATTTTTAATTAGGTTGGGTAAAGAAAAAGCAATACCCACTGGAAGACCTCAGCCTTTAACTGTACCTCCAGCAAAACTAGGAGAAGCTGGGCCTAGTGGGATTCCTAGAAGGGATGGAATACCAAGACCAAAATCAAGATTACCCGAAGTATCTTTTTCCAGAAAGACTAATGAATTGGCCAAAATGATGAATGCCGATGTAATTAAAGCTGAACCAGTTGGCAAAGGTCCAATCAGCAATATTGTAATACCCCCTGGAACAGTGAATGATAATCGTACTACTATTATCACTGTGCCACAACCAGCAGATGCTGAGGCAAAATCAGCATCACAAATTGCAAATCGTTCTATTGTGGTGATCAGGTGAATCTGTCGTATTTTGCTTTATCTGCAATTCTGATACAAAACCTTTTCAACTTCTATAGCGAAACTCTTGATGACCAAGATGCTGCAGAAGCTGCAGCAGTACAAAATAAGCTAGAAGATTTACAACAAGCTAGACGAGACTTTGTCATGGCAGTGGCAAATGTTGGTGGTAATGCTGTTAACATTGCAGATGAAACTCCTCCTGATTTTGGCTCTTTCCTTGATCAATCGCCTCCTTTTCATCCTGCTCCTCCTCCTAGACAAATAATTAGGTAAAATTTAGAAGAAAAGTTTTGGTCTTCCTGCAGATAAAATTGATCATTTTATACGCTTAATGTATAGGATTCCTGATTTGGACAGTGAGGCTCTTCAACCTCAATATGGAAGGGATCATCCAGATGTTGTAGCTGCTCGTGAATTCTTACGAAAAACTAAAGAAAAAATGGAAGAAAAAATGGCAGACAAAAGATTACAAGAACAATTTGATAGAATAGCAGGTGAAGTCTTGGATGACTTGCACTTAGATGTTCCTTTTGAAGAGGAACTTTATGTGGATAGAGATATATCTTGGGAAGAAGACGAAGAACTAGGCACAGCTATACCTGTTCAATCAAAAGTTAAATCTCATGCAGTTCCTGTTCCACAACAACAACAGAGTTATAGACATGGGACATTTGACCCAGAAGAATTGGAAAGATTCTTTGATGTCGAACGTTATCCTCCTTGTCCAGTGTGTGGACCACCATCAGGCAGAGAAACATTACATCCTGATTTATGGGACTTAGAGGATCCATGGTATATGCCACCTGTACCAGACCTAATAGAATTCGATTTAATTGATCTTTGAATGGAATCCAAATTATTTAATATCACGCAAATAATTCCCTATAATGACTGTAAAATATTTAAGTCTAATTTAATTAACAAAATTTTATACTTGGTGAACGACAGTTATTCGCTGTTATACTTGGTCTATAATTGTTTTAAAGTTAATATAAAGAGAAACATGAAAATATTAATAATAAACGAACATAACACGATTTATAAATACCTTTCGTTCTTCGTTATTCGTATTTTCCCTGCATTGAGCGCGTTTAAAATCCACCGTCTATTTCTGATCGATATATATCGATTATCCTTGAAGTTATACTCGAGTCTTATACTAATTTGACTAACGTTGTAGATTGAGCATGCGAAAACTATGCGTATAACTAATCGAGAAATTAATTATGTATTTGTTCAGTTTTATTAATGAATATATTGTTCAATATAATATATTAAACGTTGAGAAGTTAAACCATTGTGCCTAATGTATGCATTAGTGATCGTGTGTGACGTTTCATTTAATTATAAGGCTTTAATGTCTTGTTTAATGAACAAACGTGTATACCAACTACAGACTAGTTTCATTTCAAATCTTTACCCTGTATCTTCTATGAAATCAAGTTAAATGTAATCGTGAGTAAAATTTTTTTCATATAAGTATCGCTAGTATAATGGCGACACCCACGAATGGTAATGGTAACCTTATAGATGAATTCGAAGAAGCATTCCAGGTATAATATAAATACTATAATTTCTTTTTTAATCCATTAAGAAACAAGAAATTGTCTTGCATTGTATAAATGAATTTTATAAAAGAGGATTTAGAAATTAATGGTTCATCAAAAATCTATAAATGGTGCTGAATTTATTAGATTAGTAGTTAATATAAAATATTGCTTACAGCAATGTTTGAGTATATTAACAGAAAAGGACGAAGGATTAGGAAACAATGGGATCGGAATATCTGGTGGTTTGACTGTGGATAAGGAGGAAGCTCGAAGCGAAGTTGAACAAGTCACATTAAGATTCATAGATTTGGCAAGACAAATGGAAGCGTTTTTTCTGCAAAAGAGATTTTTATTATCTGCCTTGAAGCCAGAGCTGGTAGCGAAAGAAGATCTTCATGATCTTAGAATAGAATTAGCACGTAAAGATGATCTTATAAAAAGACATTATGATAAGATTGCTGTATGGCAGAATTTGTTAGCAGATTTGCAAGGCTGGGCCAAATCACCAGTCCAGGGCCCAGCACCTAATGGTAAGAATTGTCAAAGATCATAAGACATTAAGACACATATTAATTTTTTATATGCTATAGGTTTACCAAACGGTACACAAAGCGGGCAAAATCAACAAACTACTAATGGAGGAGGGAATGCAACAATGCAACAGCAGCAACAGATATTGCAACATCAACAACAACTCCAACAGCAACAGCAATTGCAACATCAAATGCAACACCAAATGCAACACCAAATGCAGCAACAACAGCTTCATCAGCAACAGGTATTTAAATAATACCATTACAAGAAATGCTGAAACCTTTGTACTCAGGCAGCTGTTTGAAATTACTGTCGGAAAAAACTTTCTTTAATGTGACAAACAAAATTTCCAAACTGCAGAGGAGAGAAAATTGTATATTTATAGAAAGTTTATTTTGTTATGATGATCATAAGTAAAGAGTAACATTTCGGATCATTATTTTTTAATATTTATGTCGTTTTAGTTGTAAATTAAGATTCACTGATAATGTAAATTATTGAGAATTTCTTTATACCAAGTATCGTTGCACCATATAGTTATTTGTATCAAAAGATTATTTATACTTGCTAGAAAATACTCTCATTCTGATTGAACCGGTATATTTATTGTTATTAGGTTTCTCATATTCTTTGTTACAATTTAAAAATGAATACCATTGTTGAATGATTTTATACGTCTGCCTGCGTGTACGCATGTGAGTGTGAATGTACAAGATGTATATAAATAGATGGAATTATTAAGAGATCTTTCGCGATCGAAAAAATTCATCAGAATCATAGAAACTATTTTTGCTCTTTTTTCTTATAATAATAACTATTTAAAATGTAAAATTATTCAGTCCTATTGCACAAAAGGAATGTATACCATATAGTATTGCATATAATCAGTGCCTTACGTAATTCCTATCCACAGAAGTGTAACATACGAAAAGATAAAGAACTAAAGTGCTTCTATTAGCATTTGCGATTACATAGAATTATAAAAGCATGAGTTTCATTTATGAAGAAAAGAAAGTATCAAATGTATATACTTATGTGAATATATTATAAAATGGTGCCAAAATTATTAATATTAGAGTGCATACAAATGTTTAGCCAAAAACTGCTATAATAAATCTGATAACGGCAATAATAAGAGAGCAGATAAACATATATTAGTTTCCTTAAAGTTAATAATGTACCTAATGATCCTTATTAGATAGAAATTATAATATAGAAACAGGAACTAATATTTGAAACCTAATGTGACTTCTCTTATGTATATATGTATATTTATATATATATACATACATACATACATACACATACATATATATCTTTCATATTTTTCATATCATAAATTTCTTTGCATTACATATTATAAATTGTTAAAGGAACAAGATATTTCTCAGTACTTATAAGCTTTCTCGTTTATAATGTGATAAATATCTTCTGCATGCAAACATGTATGCATGTATATTGTACCAGTGTACAAGCCCCTTCAAATGCATACCTTTTATATTCAGATTCATTATATTCAGAATATCGTACTGATATCTTATTCACGATAAACCGTAAAATAATTACATGACAAATTTGTTTCATAATTACTGTGCTTATTCTTCTGTACTTCATATATTAATACAAGTTTTCCTCACATAAATGTTTAGAAATCATATTGAACAAAAACACATTGCAGCCATTCATTGAAATGAGAAACTGCAGGAAAAGAAAAACGTACACCATTTCACTTGTGTTGTCTTTACATGCAACTAGATGTTTGCAGAATAAATCTCTGTTCATGGTAAAACAACATTGTGCTTTCTTTCATTTCCCTCGCCTATCTAATTACTATTCCTGTCACCCTATTGACTTATAATGATCAAAACACTACTTTTATCTTCATTCTCAAATCTGCATACTTGAATATACGTACATCTCTACGATACTTCAGAATTCTCGATGGACGAATAATGTGTCAGCACTACTTTGGATACGTAAAAATCCTTACGTTTCGTTTAACATTAGTTTACGTAGCTTCATGAAATATTTAATAAATTGTACAAATTGCTCTCTGTAGTTAAATCAGTGTCATAGGATTTTTGGCCTAATATTGCAGGTGCAGCAAGGCTCGGGTGCTCCTCCAACATCTGGCCTTCAAGGAGTTGGAGTCTCGGTTGGACAACAGGGCATGTTCATGGCACAAGGAGGTGTAGGTGTAGCTGGCGCAAGAGCTGGATTCCCTGTTGGAGGTGTAGGAAGTAGTGCTCTTCAGGGTCCGTTAGCTTTCCTGGAGAAGACAACGAGCAATATAGGAATGCCAGAAAAGCGGAGTTGACGCGGACGGGGGAGGGGCCGGGGTCGGGGTCGAGGAAGAGGCAGAGGAAAAGGACGAAGCGCAGGAGGAAGTTTACCTCCGCCTCCACCGCTCCTCGACACTTCGGACCCGTCGTCGTATGCTGCTGCTGCCGCAGTCGCAGCTGCTGCGGCAGCGCCCCTTCCCTCTCCACAGCAGCAGCCTCCACCGTCTTGTACATGAACGAATATTTGCAGGAAATCATTTGTACTGTGAAATACTGTTCCTACGCCTGAAACCATTGTGACCGCAGACTTTCGTTTCGTTTGAATTTATGCTAGGAAGCACTAATGAAGGTATCTCTGCGTTGAAAACTTCTCTGCGTCTCCCATTATTCTCAAACTGTTCATGGTGTCTAGCTCGAAGATGTTTGTCGGTGGATGAAATCTTTCATTTATTTTGTTTAGCTAAGTTTTTATTTATTTCAAATGACTTCTCGCCAACGGTTTTGCTTATTTTACTCTTTATTTATGCTCAAGCGATTAGCAACCTTTGGTATTTTTTTAATTAGTAAAGTTCAAATGCAATTTTACTTACAATGGTTCTTTTAGAGGCTCATCCCTTTCGACTTAGAGATGCCGATATCAGTACTGTTCAGCATTGGAAGCATTAACGCGAGCTTCGTTAACTTAATTTTAAGATTTTGTTGCAATCGTTTTGTGACGAACGTGCGCGAGGAAGCGTGACGAAAGAGATATGTACTATTAATTGTACCGGAGAATTGAAATTTTCATTAGGAAGATATTAGTTACATAGTAGCAATTTTATTGGATTGTTTAAATATAAATACGAATGTAAAATATCGTTATGAACATTTTTCTTGTTTATAATTGCTGTAATTATTTATTTAAATATACTTTGCATTAGTTTCCGCAATGCAGTAACTCGTAAGACTATGTAAAATACGATGTGCCCGTGGTACGGATTAACCGGTAAGATTCTTTTTAAGAGAATTAGCACTGTACATAACAAAATTGCGTGGTGAAAAGAAAAAAAAACAAATAGTAACATAAATTTTCACATGTACATAGAATTAGAGACACGATTTTCCATACAATAAATCTTGTATTTTATTATATTAAGTTCGAATAATTGTTAGTACTTTTACAAGTCGTATGTAACGTTTACACAATGTTGATCAAACCTATCGGATGTATTTCAGATACGAGAAGAATAAAATAAAAATTGCCCAAATAACGACATACCTCCCATAATCGTCTGTTAAATAATTATCTTTTTTATACAAACTTGGAACATCTCCTGCGTCATATTGTACAAAAGTATTCGTATTACTATTGTATGCCTCTTTATTATTTAATGTTCGTATAATGCGGTCGTCAATGTTCGGTAACATTGGTCTCGCGATCATCGTTCATCGTATTTAACTTACATAATATAAACAAAAATTACTGCTCAAAGAAGGTTATGAATTCATTACAAGTTGTACTAAATACTGTTATACCATAAAGTAATATAATTCTGTACAAAAAAGTAATTATTACAAATTTTGTATCTGATGAATATTCGTTTGAATTTTTGCTTACATTCCGCTTTAATTTATATGCTTAATGATAGTTCATTTACACAGATGTAATTATGGAATGTAATAAGAAGAAGGGAGGTGGGCAGCAGCATATTATATAAAATGCGTATGTTTTTATACATATATATATATATAAATATATATATATAAAGGAAATATATATAAAGGAAACAGATAATGTTATATATATACAACTGAGATCAGTTGTATATTTTAACAAAGTGCCTGCAAGAATTGAATAAGCGTACGAGTTGGACGACCTGCCATTCCAGCTGGTATGTACGGTAATTCATCAGGCCCAGCACTCATTACTCCTGCATTATCCAAATGCATCCATGGTGTATCACTTTTAACGAATTCTCGCAGGAAAGCTGCTGCTGTGCATGAGCCACCACCTTTCGTTTTCGCAAGGTTGTTTATGTCTGCTGATTTAACTTTCTCTGTAAATGAACATCAAAGAATTCTGTTAAATATCCGTCCTAAAATGTCGAGAAATGTAAAAGATATGTCCATTAAAATCATATTACTTGTCATCTCATCCGTGAAATATTTCCAGAGTGGCATTCTCCAAACTCGATCACCAGTCAAAGTACCAGCACCTCTCAATTTTTCAAAGAGTGTACCGTCATTCGTAAAGACTCCGGTCGCTGCTCCTCCCAAACTGATCTTCATTGCTCCCGTTAGTGTTGCAATATCCAAGATAAGCCTACAATGTTAATTGTCGTCATTTATTTGGAATTATTTAGAAGGGAATAAATCATACAATTTTTCAGGTCTTCTCAACAATTACCTTGGATTAAATTCTTGAGCATAACAAAGTGCATCGGCAAGAATCAGCCTGCCTTCTGCATCCGTATTATCTACAATGATACTTTTCCCATTCATTGCGATCACGAGGTCACCTGGTTTAGTCGCAGTTCCAGAGGGTAAGTTTTCGGTAAGCGGAATCAAACCGACAACGTTCACTTTTAATTTCAGTTCAGCTGCAGCTCGGATAGCAGCCGATACACACGCTGCACCGCTCATGTCCGCGCGCATCTCATCCATGTCCAATGCAGGCTAAAATTATCAAATTTACGGTGGTCTGGTTACAGAAGTGCGGTAGATAACAATTTACCTTGAGACTGATACCGCCTGCATCGAAGGTGACACCCTTCCCGACGAAAACAATTGGCTGAGAATTATCGCCAGCACCTTTGTACTGAATTTCAACGAACTTTGGTGCTTCGCAACTACCGTGAGAAACGCTAAGGAAAGAACCCATTTTCTTCTGCTCCGCCCATTCTTTGTCGTGTACTGTAACAGTGACTCCTAATTTCGTAAGAACTGAGGACACTTCCTGAGAAAATATTGTAGGTGTCATTAAATTGGCTGGAGTGTCTGCCAGTTGACGCGCCCAATTTTGTGCTTGGGCTTTGATATTTCCAACCCGCCATTGTTCTCTTAAAATGAAAAATAAAAAATAAAAAAAGTCCTTTTTGGTAATAACAGTTATATACACCATAGATGAAACACATGATACTCACTCTCCTTCTTGGCCATACAGTGAAACTGATGGGAATACTGCTTGCTTTTCTTTGTTCTTCAAACCTTGATAAAACCATGTCGATAGAACAGCTCCTTCTGCTGCAGCTTCTGCATCGCCTAATGCATCTAATTTTATGTCCTTAATTTCAACTGCATCCAATGCACGACAACCCTCTATAAATTAAGTGTTTAATGTTGATTGATGTGATCTAATGAGTTTTCTATTAATATAATGTAACATATATTAACTAACTTGCAATGTTACCAAAGTATTAGAACAGTATATATAAAAGAAAAGTTATATGTAAGAACAAGTAGCTACCTGCAGCCGCTATACGTATGCTTTCTTTTCCTTCGTGTACCTCTTCAAGCTGGTTAACGCCAAGGTTCTTTTTTCCAAGACCAACTACTGCAACTCCCACATATTCCTTTTCATCCAAACCCCAAAATACTCGAGCAGAGCCTTTGGGAATTTTCGGGCCTGCTCTGTAGTGGTACAAGTATTGATGCATTATTTAAAATTTCTGTTTTCACTTAAAATACGCATTACTGAGGTAAGGGTGAGATTCTTTACAATTAAAAGATCTGTTAAAAAAATGTATTGAGACACAGATTCACAAATTTATTCGTTACAATAATTCTAGGCATCATTCATAGCATTACGCTGTAGCATTTGCAATTTTAAAATACAATCTAAAAATATACTATCCTTTACATACACCCTAGAATTTCTTTAAAATTAATCTAATTACTTCTATAACAATTATTCTAATTATTAGTTATTATTAATTACAATTACAATTACAATTACAATTATTATTTCACAATTCGAGCTACATAGTAATTCACAATATTCTTCCTATACTTTTTTACTTACATATAATAGAGACAATTGATTTGCACTAGAAGTACATTCAAGATAGGCGCCACAGTTATTCTCAGAATACTTAGTAGTTAATAAAAATTTCTAATAAAGAATGATTTGTGAATTATAATATAGTTCAATGTAATACTATATTTATATTATACCAAAAATTCGATTCTTTCTTTTATGTATACACAGATTTAAGTATGTAAATTTGTCACGGGGTTTTATCGTATTTATAACACTGTCTGCTTAAATATTATTGTGTAAATACTAAAGAAATGATTAAAAATTGACACATTGATATTTTTTTAGATGATTAGTCCTGAAAATCGTTTGCTTAAAATATACTCATCAGAGCTAAGTAAAATAACACTTAAATAAAACATAACAAATGTAAATTCTTTCTCTTTTCTTTGATCTCTAACAATATCAATCACTACTTTCAATGATACATTAATTCTGAAACAAACAAAAATATTTATGATCTACTATTTTCAATCAAAAAATCTATTTTCCTTTAGCTCTGATTCTAGTATACAATGAGTTTAACGCTGACAATAGGAACTTAATACAATCCAAGCACATTCACTATCCTTAGCTGAGGCGATATTCTTGGCACAAATTGAATTGAATACACATTAAGTTGTTTATATTAACGTGTATATTTCTATCTTCTTGATTTTAATTCATTAGGCTACTTTGGCAATATATTTACTATAAAGATCAGATTGTACAATTAAAGTTGCATTTGCAAGTCTGAATTCTGAACAAATATATAACATTATGTTACAAAGCATTATTTGTATCGATATAGCTCACAAAAATATGTTTTATAATATAATAATAAAACTTGATACTGTATTTTTATAATTTACAAGATAGATATAACAAAATCGAATTTCTCTATATAATATAAAATACTAAACGATTTATTTGATTTTTTCGAATGAACGCTATTAACATACAAGAGCCAAGAATTTATGCTAAGAATACATACGTAACAGCATGTGTAACTAATGCAAAAGTTTTATAATACAAATGTTTTATTATACGTAAATTGTGCTAAAAGTTAATGTGAGAACATCAATTCTTTAATATGTTACACATAAGTAAATTAACATGAAATTATAAAATACCATGTTACACATTATGAACTATCAGAGACAGATGCATATCGTCGATGCAAGCATACAAACTATTTATTATTAAACTCAGTCTATCATTAAAGTACATCTAAATTGAAAAATAGCTAACTGAAAGTAGAATAAAAAACAATAACTATAATTTCAATACAAGTATAATTACAAGATAATATTTGTGCTGTTTAGCGCTCGGAGTATTTCCTCAAATAAGTCAGTCTCTAATAATTTAGATTTTCAGGTATTAGATACTTCTTTTTTACAATTCGGCTCATAACATATTATCATAACATTTAGAATAAATATTTACTTCTCGTTGTTACTTTATGTCTGAGCAGTGAATGAAATAAATTTCAAAATATATATATATGTATATCATTAATTTGTGATTATTCTCAAACAAGTTCCAATATTTTAATGATTCCTTGAGAATTTGCAGCTACCACAACATTAGACATTTGTCTCCAACAAACTGCAGATACAAATTCATTTAGATCCTCTTCTCTTCTTTCTTGCATTTCTAATATATTTCTCACAGCATCAAATTTGTAAGAGAATAATTGCTTAGTAAGTCCTTTGTAATATACATATAACGCGTTATTCTCAGATCCACATGCCACATAATGACCGTCCGTGGTAAGACCTACGAAATTCTTCTCGTTAACGTGTCCAACAAATGATCGCAAACAATGCGGATTATTGATATTCCACATTTTCAGTTGTGAATCGGTACTTGCTGATACTATCTCTTCTTTGTTAATAAATTTTACATATGAAACAGCTTTGCGATGCCCTTTAAATATGCACAACGCTTCGTTCATGTTACGCAAATCATAGTAATGAACACAATGGTCAGCAGATCCAAATGCCAAATGACATGAACTACATGGATTAAACTTTACACAGCACACATTAGCTTTTGCTTCTAAGGATGCAACGGAATGGTCATTATTCAAGGACCATAATTTAACTCTGGTATCATCAGAACCTGATGCTATGAGTCTAGTATCTACATCATTGAAGTCAACAGACCAGCATCTTTTTTCATGTTCTTGAAATGCTTTTGTTCTCTGACCTGTTGTAGCATCCCAGACTGTTACAGTCCCTTCATAATCGGATGATGCTAACATTCCCTTGTGAAACGAATTCCATGAAACACAGGATATCTTAGAACTAGAAACCATTTCTACACAAGGATAATGAATGTCTACGGTGTCTCTAATTACAGCACTATAGTCGAATACTTTTATACGTTTTGTAACTCCCGCTATCGCGAAGAATTCATTGTCTTTATCAAATTCGATACTCGAAACGATAGTGGAGTTATTAAAAATATCTGATGAGTAGTTCAAAGTTGCCAATGGACGTAACGAGTTATATTTTGAAAATTTTACAAGATTTTCTCTAAAAATATCCAACCCTGAACTTGTGCCAGGCCATCCATCATTCTGTCCTTGAGATTTATGCCCAAGATGCAATTCTTTAGCACGAGAATCAAAGTAACATTGCACAAAATCATCAAAATGGGCGTGCATTCTCTTTCTGCGCAGAGCTAAAGCGGAACCAGCTGTGAATTCACTTTGTTTCTGACTTCCTGTTGGATTTACAAATGTATCATTCTCAGATGATCCTGCTTTGTCAATCGGCTTAACCATATCTGAGTCTATTATATTTATAAGTTCAATCATCTCTCTTCTAATAGCTGAGACTTGTGCAGTATCATTTTCACTGGATTTCTTCAAGTCTTCTATTTTAGGACATTTACTCTGAACACCTCTCAAAATATTTTCAACTTCTTCTGTATCTCTTTTAATTAATGCTATTTGTTTTTGTAATTGATTCTTCTGTTTCTCTTTCTGTTGCAATAAATGCTTCAAGAACTCGTGAAGCAATTTGTTCTGTGCTGCACATGTTTCTGCTTCGAGCAAATGTTTCTTCTGTGTTAATACTTCTAACATTACATTTATATCAGGTAACGTTAGATTAGCACTTTCTGCAGCTACAATATCTTTCAATCCATCGTATGGTGGTAAACATATGTCTGTACCCATACCTCTATGTTTACCATCAGTTGCATATGAAGATCCTAGCTCAGTAAGACCTTTAATTCTAGTCTTATATTTTGATATTAATTCGTGTAATAAAAAGTTTGGGAAAATATCTTGCTGTGTTAATGTGTAACTACATTTGGGACAGCGCGCATTGGTTTCCAAAGATTTCACTATGCAACGGTAACAAAAAGTATGACCACAACGTGTGATATGAGCTTCGTCGATTACCTCAAAACAAATAGGACACAGATAATCATTATTTTTATCTTCAAGTGTACCGCTAATCCTATGGAGAACGTTTGTGGGGTAATGTTGTTTGCTTAATCTACTACATTCACCTACTGCCCCACTGCTTCCAGCATTGTTATCATTTCCCAAGGTACTATCATTGATAGTCGACATTTTCTTTATCTAAATATCTCTTTATATAATATGTATATATATATATATATATGTAAATTTTAAAGAATTTTTTCAAATTTCATGTTATTCAAAACTTCTCTCAATCATTAAATAATAATTCATTTCAAACTGAAAATCAGTTTAAAAAAAATTATTATCTCCTAAATAATACACTTTTAAATATTTCTTTATATAACAAAATATGCGATCTGGCAACTCCTTCAGTGCAGCGAGTTTTTGCTTCATATCATGCGTACAATACCATCTCTCAGTCTAGTCACTCCTGAAATAATGAAAATAATGCCAGTGAGCTCATATGGGACATAATTTTCACTCAAATTCAAGAGTTTTGTTAACAGAAATAATAATTTATGAAGAAGTTTTTAAAAAACAACAAAGGAAAAGCAATTCTGAATATTACATGTTAAGCTCAGGTAGCATTATGACAATTGTTTCAGGCTGGAACTATTAATAAAACATTTATACATCGTTTAATATTAATTCACATAATCTCAAATGAAAGTACAAAAAACAATATATGTATAAAACTGTACTTTGTACCAAAGTTTAAGTTTATCACATGGTTCTGTGCTGTGTTTGTTATATGTACATATATAATTATTTTATCTTTGAGTGAACGAGGTATCTTGCTTGATATGAGAAAAATATAGATTAACGTTTAATGTACGATATTCGTACCTAAAGGTCGACATAAATCTATATTCTGGTGTCACGTATAGAACATGAAAAAAGGAAAATGATTTATTTAATGAACTTAATATAGGTTTCTACACGAATTAGTGTTTCGGAAAATATGATTAACGAAAGGCTCTTACTAGAAGATATCCATAGATTTTGTTAATTTTCGTATATACTGTAGTATCGCACCTCCAATGTAATTTAACCTTTCAAATATTGATCGATATTCCGTCCTTAATGAGTAATTTGCAATGAAAAATCATCAATTTTTACGTTTAGGTTATGTGCAATGGTTGTTAAAAATCGAGCATGACAGTGGCGTAGCACGGCGCAGCGGTATGGTGAGAATCTATCACCCTGATGGCTTGGGTTCGATACCGCGTGACTTCATTTTTTTCTCTTTTTCTACAAATTTCTTTTCCTCTATTGTGCGTGCTAAAATAAATGTCTAAACACGGTATTAAAATATCGACATAACAAGACGTTGATTTATTTTACCAAAGTTTTTATTTCTTTTATTCTTTTAATTATTTATTTACACACAAAAATGATTATGCACTAATCTAACTACAACAGAAGTACTGCTTGTCCCACGAGCAACACGAAAAGATTGCATTCACATTTCTTCTCTTTTATTTGCAGGGAAAATATGTGTTTCTAACAATAAATATTAAAACATTAATAACATAATGGTACTTCATTCTTTGCCTTTCATTTATGACCCTAACATTTTATGCGACAACGCTATATTTAAGATATGTTTCAACACGTTCAATAGAGAAAAAAGAAAAGAAAATTGGGAAACTCAAAGGGATCGAACTCGAGTAGCCGTGGTGGTAGACCCGTTTCATACCGATATGCTATGTCATTGACGCGATTGATTTTCGTAAGCAAAGCACATAAACGAAACGTAAAAAAGGGTTTGTTAAAATTCAGTAACATTGAACATTGGAACCCTTGGATAACGTAGAGTATCTGTATCATTAGAATATAATACAGCTATATGGAAATTAACAAGATTAGTATTTATCTCGTAGCAAGATTCCATTACCAGGTATAAGATATAATATAGGTTACAAAAATAGATTACTAGGACTTACAGCAAGATATTCTTTTGTAGTTTTCCATTAACTAGTTCATCGTATTTTGCCGCCGTGGGAGTCAATAAAATCTTGTTTTCATCTTCTGATTCGTATACACCGAGTACCAAACCTTTCTGTTGGAAATCGAAATACCACGAATAAAGATCGAGCATAGAAAATCTTTTGTTAAGTATGTTACAGTGCATTCGAAACACTAGCCTAGCCAGAGGCACGTTTCGCTAGAAATACTGAGTGAAAAAAGAAAAATGATCAAATGACAAACGATTCTTAATGTTCCTCGCGAAAATTTGTTCAAATTTCACACATCACGGTTAAAGATTTCTCCTTTCCCTTTCGACAATTTGCACGACAGTCCAAGACGAAAATCCTCCGCCTTAATAGTTTATCGTGCAAAGTGAAAATATAAACGATTCTTCAATAGAAAGTTCTCGAGAAATTATTGCCTAAAGCGCGAACGAATAGTATATTTTTAATTACCTTCATGGTCGTAGCGCAGGATAAGAAACGTAACTGCGAAATTCCGTATTGTAGACCCTTACCCCGGATAAGAGACAATGCCATAATTTGTTCGAGGCGCATTAGGTGTGATATATATATATATGCCTGTGTGTGTGTGTATATACGTACACACGCGGCTCTCTATGCGGTGTGTGTAAATGCACACGTGTGTGTGTATACAGACGGAAGAATGTACGCATGCGTTTCCCTGAAAAGATACGATATCTAGACAACTTGGTGACCGATGTTGTAGATCCGCGACTCTAGTGTTCCGCTTCATTTATTTTTATATTGCCATCTGGTGAGAATTTTCGAGAATTACCAACCAACCGTTTCGATGTATTTATCGACAAAATTTGCATAATTTCAAAACTACAATCGGTATTGCCGAAAAGCATCATTTCATCGTATTTAACATAGTGTTTTATTTTATTTCACAGAAGCCATGATGGCTTCTATGAAACAGAAGCGAGTAATTAAAATACAATTTATTTAGTATGTACAATCATAATATTAAATGAATATTCGAAATTTATAATATATGTATAAACACGTTACTCAATTAAGAAGTATTTATTCATTTGTTAAGAAACTCTGCCATTGGGTCATTTTCACGTTGTCGCTTCATTTGGAACGCTTCGATTTCCTCCGCCGATGGTTCCTGTACTTCGTACATGCTATTGTACGGACGCTTTCGTTCATCTACCTCCAACAGCCTCTCCGCTCTTTTTTGACTGTCCTTTTCTTTTTGCAATGCCTGTTGCAACTTGTCTTCCACTTCTTTTTTAGCTTTCTTCTCCTTCTGTTTTCGTTCCTTCTGTTTTCGCTTTTTGTCCTTCCTTTTAGCGGATTTGGATTTCTTCATTATCTTTGGCCTTTTTTCTTCTTCGTCGGACGAACTATCGTTACTAGATGATTTCTCGTCATGCGAGGCTTCCTTTTGATCGTCTGAATTCTCTTCTTCTGTTGCTCTTTTATTTTCCGTAACTGTTGCGTCAGATGCCTTTTTACCTGCTTCTCCTGTACAGTACGAATTCTTGATAAATGAATGGCAACATTTGTACCCCCATTTACCGCCGTGCCAGTAAGATCCCCATACGGATGTGTGATTATTTGGATAGACATCTTCCTCGTATTTTGAACGAATCACTTGTCTATCCTGTCCTTTGATGATCTGTAAATTAATTCAGATTAATAGAATCCCTAGAATAAAGTAAATGTAAAGTTATCTAAATTTGTTACATACTTTTCCATATCTAGAATATTCTACGTATTGTTCTGTTTGTGCTAATAAAAGGGAAGGTGGTAGTGTATCAAGATGCTCTTCACCACCGTATGTACTAATTATACTATCGCGAGCTTTATCCTTTAATTCGTCACACTTTTTGTCATACTCCTGCTTGAGTAATTCCAGCTTGGTAGGTTCAGCTAGTAAATGAACATCAACGCCTCTTTCATGTGCTTCCCACGCAAACAATTGAGCATTTGCATGACATTGCGTATCACCAGAGAAACGTACGAAATTTTCACCCTTATAATCCACTCTGTAATTAAATATTTTAATCAGTTGTATTTAAATCATTTTTTTATTGTGAAAAATGTTAAAGAAGTTATCAAATTTATGAAGGTGCTTACTCTCTTTCTGTGCCAGCATAAGGATTATCACGCATAGATCTTGTTTTAGGATCATAGTATGCAGAGTTTAGATCCAAATTTCTTAAATATTTTGCTGTGTCCTCCCTAATTCTCAGATTTCTAACAGTAATACGCTGTTTGGAGTCTACTTTTGTTCCCGGCATATCAACTTCATCTACATATTTATCCTCATCTTTGTCTGAATCTTGTTCATCATTTTCCTCTGCATTTAATTTCTCTGCACGCATTTGCCTCTTGGCTTCTTCTATCTTTTGATATTCTTCTACAATAGCCCTGTGCTCTGAGGGATCATAACCAGCCCACCTATAATAAATAAAGAAATACAGATAATGTATAAATATAAAAACTAAAACTCAAGCTTTAAACATTTAGATTACCTATCTCTTTTACCATCATAATCCATAGATAATTCGGGTTGACTGAACTCATCTGCTGCAATATTTGCATTTGTGAATTTTGCTCCAATTTTGCGTGGACGTTCCATGCATTCTTTCCTTTTGTGGGTCATAGCACCACAGTTTTCACAGGCTCCTTTACGATACTTTGTTATTGTTTTAGATGTGTCTACACCACGATTATACCACTCGTCTATTCCACTAAACTGTTTTTGTTTCTCAGGCTGTGGTCTTTGATGTTTCAAAGTAGGACCCTTAAAATGTTTTTGTCAATTATTTTGTTGTATTAATTACAGAGAACATGTAAGCAGTATCTTATAAGCCACAAATTAAAGGTAAGCAATATATATGAACAAGTAAATACCTGTGCTCCAAAGTACCATGGTGTAGCACTAATATACTGAGGAATATGTGGATTAATATCTTTTCCTTCTTCATCTACAGCTGCTGGGGCTGTACCAGCTTTTCTAGCTTCTTCTAATTCCTTTGCTTTTCGCCAATCCTCTCTACTCTTTTTCCTCGGTTCATCTTCAAAACTACTTGTATTCTTTATGATTTTCGAAACAGGTACATTAGCTAACGTGTTAGCCATGTTTATCGAACAACAAGTAACTTGTCAAATCGTTTATTGACGTTTCACATCACCAAAGTCCATGTAAATAGTTGTTAAAACTAATATAACCTCAAAGGAGACAAACTACGGTTAAGGGCAGTTTACAAGAATGGAACAACGATGATGATTGACGATCCAACGACAGTGTTTTGTAAACTTACATTAAATATCGTTATTTAATATTTTACGCTTAATAAAAAATATTAGATTTTATACAAGAGACAAATAAATTTTATAGAAAATACTTTGTCGATGAAAATCGTATAAATCAACGCGTTACGATAGAAATGTCGTGGTAGAAGAGGAATCACTGATCGGCGTCACTAGCTTGAGAGGATACCGCTCGATTACAATATTATATTTAACAATCAAATAGTTTCATTTCGTTTCTTATTATCATCCATTTATAGAAGAAACAACAAGAAATGCAGATAAAAATTTGTCATCATTATTTAGTAATACTAACACAGACTTTTAAAAATAGAAAATTAATTTTCTCGCTACATGAAAATTGCTTTAAGCGGACCCATTTAAAGTGGGGATTTATCGACTGTATTGGGGCCTTACATTATGTATCAAATTTGATACTTTCACTTCGATCTTTCGTTCCGTGTACATAATCAATTTAACCTGGAAAATGCGTATTAATCGATGCAGTTGAAAACGATAATATGTTTTAATTCGAAAAGGAGAAACAGCTGCGATCTTTAGCTGCTTCGAAAACTGGAATGTAAGATCAAAATGGTGGCAGTGGCAGATAGATCGATATTGGCCTGCAATGTCACGTATTGTTGATAATTCTTCTGTTTGTCGCACATTAGTAAGTGAATATTCATTATATTTATTTTATAATATAAAGAACAATATTATTTTCTTAACTCATTAGAAACGTTGATTAATTAACGTCCGATATGCCCGCGAAATTTAAGCCTTATTATTAGATCCGCATTTTTTTTTAAATTACTTTCATCCCCTATGCGTTTCGCCTCGATAATGTTAACTCGGAAATAGAAACATGAATATATTGAATCGGATAAATCAAATGGAACCAAAAATAATGTTTCTGACGAACGTTTTTATTTTTTGTAATATAGAACAGAGCATGGAATGGATGGATCATGTCCATTACTTCTTCCATCCTTTGGGGAAAAGGGCAGCTCTGAGAGGGAGACTGTATATTCATCACAGAAAGTGGGTCTGTATAGACCACCCTCTGATGCAATTGACTTAGGATATCATACATTAGACAACAATGCCTGCCGATCGACATCTTCATCGACTGCTATATCTGTTCCCATCAGACAACAAACTTTGTTGCAACAGAAATGTAGTTATGCGGCTGATTTGTGTCAGCTGGATGATACTTTATTACTGAGAATATTCAGCTGGCTAGGTACCAGAGATCTATGTTCCATTGCCCAAACCTGCAGACGCCTTTGGGAAATAGCGTGGGATCCATCCCTTTGGAAGGAAGTGGAAGTACGTTATCCTCAGAATGCAACTATCGCATTAAACGCATTGACCAGACGAGGATGTCACACATGCATCCGCCGTCTTGTACTTGAAGGTGCTGTTGGCCTGGCTGGTATTTTCACTCAGTTGCCATTCTTAAGTTTAACTTCTTTAGTACTACGACATTCCAGACGCGTCACAGACGCAAATGTGAGTGCCGTTTTAGACAATTGTATACACTTGAAGGAATTGGATTTGACAGGATGCATCGGCGTGACCAGAGCGTGTAGCCGAATAACAACATTGAAGCTGCAATCACTGGATCTCAGTGATTGTCATGGCATAGAGGATTCTGGCTTGGTGCTCACTCTTTCACGCATGCCGCATCTTGGTTGCTTGTATTTACGGCGGTGTGCGCGTATAACTGACGCCAGTCTCGTAGCAATTGCCTCCTATTGCGCCAGTTTAAGACAATTGTCTGTCTCCGACTGTGTGAAGATTACAGATTTCGGCGTACGTGAATTGGCAGCTCGTCTTGGTCCGTCTTTGCGTTATTTCTCAGTAGGCAAATGCGATCGTGTATCAGACGCTGGTCTCTTAGTTGTAGCCAGACACTGTTACAAGCTGAGATATTTAAATGCTCGTGGCTGTGAAGCACTCAGCGACAGTGCTACGTTAGCTTTGGCGCGTGGATGTCCACGATTGAGGGCTCTGGATATAGGAAAATGCGACATTGGTGATGCAACTCTGGAAGCTCTTTCCACTGGATGTCCAAATTTAAAAAAATTATCTTTATGCGGTTGCGAGCGAGTTTCGGATGCTGGATTGGAAGCATTAGCTTATTACGTACGAGGGCTGAGGCAATTAAATATTGGCGAATGCCCCAGGGTCACATGGGTTGGATACCGTGCGGTAAAGCGTTACTGTCGTAGATGCATCATAGAGCATACTAATCCTGGTTTCTCAAGCTGAGCCTTTTAAACCGTCCTCTATTTACCGCATTTACTGTCTATTTATTAACAACTCTTGTTTCATTTCTCTTTTAGACATTAATTTGTAAAAAGTAATTATCCAACAATTGTGAAAATATATATACATATGTATCATATACCACAAGTCATGCGAGAGTATATCATATATATCTATATATATTTGCATATATACATATATACATAAACATATATATACATATATATGTGTTTCATAATTTCTAAACATTATTCTTTGCTATTTATTAATTTTATAATTTAATACGTGAAAGCAATCTTTCAAGTTTTATGTAATTTGTATATTTATTTTATAAATAAAAATGTTCAGATTATATTCGATTAGAATGTATAGTTCAACACTTCTTCATTTATAACATACTTGAAGTATTTAGAACGTTAATGAGCTTCTTACTGTGTTTGAAATGTAGAGAATTCAAATTTAAATATAAGCTTCTCGCGCGTAACGTCAATGACGTCATAACCATTGAAATGCTCTTCTTTAAAATTGTGTGAAAATGCGCTGTAATTTAAAGTCCTACACTCAAATTCTCATATTTTGCGTAGAAATGTATAAGATCATGTGGTTTCACAGCATTGGTCGAATATGTTATAACGCTGTGAACTTGAGTGACGTGTTTCATTTCAATAAACTTATTTACTTGTGATGAACAGTCGTGTCAGCAACTGATAATTAATAATTAAGAGAAGCTAAACGTATTCATGCGAATTAAATTTTCATTGCAATGAAATGCCTATTCTATTTTACTTCTGAGTAATCTAACCTACGAATTTTGAAAGCATTGTGGAATGAGTAGTATTCTCAGTGTTTCATAAGAAAAAGCCTACCTGAAACTATAATCAAAGGAAAGTATAGTATTGGAATTTTTAATGAAATTGTAAAACAACTATGAGATCACAGAGAAGACAAGGTTTTCAATACGGCATTTACTTGCTGTTTATGCAAGCTTTGAATTTTGGTATCGACAAAATTCCACCAGCTACTTTGGGCACGATTATTGGGCAAGTAAGTGTTTCAAATTTATCAATGTAATAATCATAAATTATAATATATTTTTATTTTATTAGGTCTTACTATATGTTGGTATAATAAAAGTTCCTTGGAGCGCAGAAGATGTATGCATATCTGCAATAAAAGTATTCAAATATAGGAACTGGAAATCTTTCATAATATCAAGCTTTGAACATGGTTCTGATATGCACTTATATTACAATATGGTATCTTTGATTTTAAAAGGTTCCTACTTAGAACCCAAGTATGGAACACCCAATTTTTTTATTTTATTGAATATTCTTACACTTGGATGCAGTGCCATGTACGCATCTTTAGGCTATGCCTTAATGCAATTAACTGGAGATTATGGATATTACACTGAATGTGCTATCGGATTCTCTGCTGTTTTATTTGCACTGAAAGTAATTGCAATTTGTGAAGAACGAAACACAGTTCATAATGTCGGCGGATTTACAGTTCCTAGTAAAATTGCTGTCTGGGTAGAATTGATCTTAATTCATCTTTTGGTACCACAGTCTTCATTGATTGGACATCTTGGGGGTATCTTGGTTGGTTGCTTATACTGTTACACTTTTATTGGTGTAACCATTGATAATATAATATATAATTTGTCTGGTATACCTATTATACACGAGGAAGAATTTTACAGAAGACGTACTTCATTGTTTACATGACATTTGAAATAGGAATATTTTAAATTTAATAATTTATTAATTTGGTAATTATTTTAAAGAAGTTGGAAAATGTAAATAAATACGACTGGGTACTTAAATGTGTTATTAAGTTACTCTAGAGGTGAAGAATTATCTTAAGGGATAATTGTACATGTATGTATATAAGAAAGAATGTAATTTATATATTGTTTACGTATTTGTTACATTATATAAAGTAATAAATTAATTTTCTATTAATATAACTGTTATTCTATTTACACTTATACATTACTTTCATACATTCTCTTGTGCCTTACATAATACAGTATAGATTACCTGCATTGTCATAATCTATATATAACAAAACTGTGATTCACGAGACTGATTTATATTCTTCATACTCTTTCTCAATTGTGAAATAGAAATATAATTTAATTGAATAATTATCTTTCATAATTTCACAGGAAAATTGCAATTGTTTGAAGATTTAACATGTAACACGATTAGCAGAATTTAAAGATTTCATATAAGTTGTACAGTTTAACATTGGGTATTTTAGATCTCACTTCTGTATTCAACAATGACGTCACTGAAAAATGTAACAATAACTAGTATAATTTAAGTACAAAATATGAATAACAAAAGAAAAATAAATGAATAAAAAGAAACTTACAAATCGTCCTCTCATCCATTCTATAAGGTATGTCATAAAATATGAAGTATGAACACATTCTTTGCAGTGTTATTAAATCTCCTTGAATTTCTCCCGTGGTTAAGTAAGATTTAATGCACGGTTTCAAATCTGGAAAATATGGAAAAATATTGGAAGAATTTAGAAAAATTATGAACAAATGAATCGTAATAATTACCATGTTCCCAACTATCCATAATATATGAAATTTTTTGTTCGATTGCTTTCACGCTTTCTGCGTTAAGCAATGGTGTCCTGTTTTCCGTGTAAGACCGTTTTAACACCAGTGACGAAACAAGCTTCATTTGCCATACGGAGAAACTGTTCGGCTCCCTTTCTATGATTTCAATGCTTTTCAACAGGTTTACCCATAAGGGGAGAAGTGTCACTTTATCTTTTATCACGCACTCGTAAACAATTATAGCAAACGTGTGTAGGAAATGTTTCTCAAATTCTGTCATGTCGAAGTGCTGTGCTTCAAATCTGTACGAATAACTAACACTTCTCAAACCAGACGACAGCTCTGCGATTTCCATTTTCTCCGTGGACGAATCCGATTGTTCATTCCAACTTATTCTTTCAGATAAATCACTCGAGCTTTGAGTTAAATATCCAGAGCTACTTTTACTACCATAAGACTGTGTATTCAAGTTGCTCTCGATAGTCTTGTCTTTTTTAGGCCACTGTAAAAAGTATTTCACTATATTCAATACAGTTCTATTGTTCGTAAACGACGTCACAGATTCAGGGCGAGCAGCCCATGCGATCACATCTTCGGTTGTTAATGTTTGAGCTATTAAACTTCTAAATCCGTGAGGGTCTTCTACGTATGGTAAACAACCAGCCCTTTGTTTAACGTCTAAGGATTCACTTTTCTTAAGCATGTTCTCAAGATGTTGCCAGTTATGGCCTTTCTCGAAAACGATTTCCCAATATCGTTCATCCTTCAGCTCAATCTTTTTCAGACTGGATAGTTGTGGTAACAAACATGGCGATTGAAGTACTAAATCTTGTCCTTCAGCTTGTTTCTCCGATTCAAATGTTAAATGTACTTTACAATAGCAATATTGTCGACTATCGATGTCTCTGGGTAATATAACACGTGGTTCTGCAGCCAACACGTACAGATGCCTTAGGGCTTGTAAATGATACCTACGATTCATCAAATTAATACAATTATCGCGTTAATAATATTCAATAAATATATTACAATGGCACAAACCTATTGTCATTACTATGAGTTGGAAATTTCGGGAAGAGAGAAATTATGAGAGCAGCCACTGCACTAGGGCTATTCGAAAGGGTATACATTCCTCCTCCGAGAAACAAAAGACCAAGTGCCATGTGCGTTGCTAAATGAGAACCATATGTAACGACGCTACTTGCAGGTCCCACGCGTGTCCTCACATGTCGACATATCCTCATGATCTGTTTATGGGTCGTACAAACAATGTCCACGTGAATATCCAAATAATTTTACTAAGGGAAATCATAGTTCATCGAATGCCTATATCCTACCTCTAAATTACCCGACCCCGCCATCACAACAGCAGCAGAAAGTAAAGTAACGTTCAAGCAGGTTTCAATAGTCGACTTTCCTGCCAACTCGGCGATAGTTTTATGCGACAGAGCCGTGAACATCTGAGCATAGTTGTACAGAGTTTTAAAGGCGTTCCTGTTAGCAGTGCCAGCATACTTCAAACCTAGGGCCATACAGGCTCCCGCAATAATATTGCAATAAGCTTGGCTGCATTTCAATTAACATTAGTCAAAATAACAGATTATGAAGATCTTAATATTTGAACGTAGCTGATATACTAACTTCATAGTCTCCAAATCCACATTCTGCGCTATTTCAGAAGTCGGTTTCTGTAACCTATATTTGTAAACAATATTGGGTACATGGCTGGACACCCAAGACTTCGTTGGTTCAATTTCGTTCCACAGAATGAGCGACTTTGCTAGTATCCGTAACAACAGGAAATCAGGTCGTATAAAGTCAAGTAAATATTGAGTGTCGGGGGCCTGCATCCATTCTGCCACTGCTCGGTTTCCAGTATCAAAGTACATAAGGCCCAGAGCTATCGTTGCTCCAGGGCTTGTCACATCGATATTTATAGAATCACCTTCTCTAATTTGGTAACTGAAATTATTAGACAGTGAGAATGACACTAGTAAATAGTAAGTTGTAATGCAAATACACAAGTATATTTACCTGGGCGATTTATATTTGTCCTTTTGTGATCCAGTGAAGGGCCTAACGTGTCCACCTACCATATAATAATGTAAAGTGTCAGGTATACTAGTCAGGTCTGGTCCACCACCGCTTCCTAGTACTACTAAGCCTAATGCTAATCCCGCCGCTAACGAATAGGATTCTCTGTCCACGCAGTTCTTTATCTCCGGTCCTGGTGGTCTACCTGTCATTTGCCAGACCATTAAACACTTTGCTGACTGACCAAGAATACACTGCAATTTATTTTCATAATTTCAACTTATACCGCTTACCAATTTCTGACAACAAAGCGTGAGAAATATGCCTGTGAGCAGTGCCTTGATACACCAGACCAACTCCCATTAAGGCAGCAACTTGAACATTGTGTTGAACGTTTAATTCAATGCTCGTTGGCGGTAGTAATGTTTCCACGTGGAGCGACAACAATTTAGTCATAGAAACATTCATTGTGCCACGATGCGTTGCCGATAGACCAAGCAACAGGCCGACGCTGGTGGCTTCGTGACATTCAATTAAATATTCGAACGTATTGTAGGGTGCCAGATTTTTCAGGTGGCCATTCAAACCGAGAGCCATCAGGAAACCGGAATGTTCGATTCCAAACTCTCCTTGTTGCTGCTTATTATACACTATCCACGTCGAGTCAATGTTCGACGCGTTTGGATGAATGCGAAGTCCTGCGGCTACACCGTTATGAAATAATGGCCATAAATTCATGTTTGGGGGAACGTCGATGTGAGCCAATTCCACAGTAGTCCCGCGAGGAGGTGCTTTTCCTGTAAAAAATTATACTCTTGTAACATCGATTCTACATTTTCATAATATTATATCCTCTTTTATTTTATACCAGTCAAACACAACCGTGGAATTGGTAACTGCTCTGTAATGATAGGCGTCGATGTCCTCAGAGTGAACATGCCTCTAGCCACCGGAAGTGCCATCGTTCTGGTACACAACGCATGCAAATGCTTCTCTTGCTCCTCTATAAACTCATGATCGCTCACGTCTGGTCTCTGTACTATTGCTATTTTCACCGGCTTCGAAGAGTTAAGGAGTTTTCGTACTTCCGTTACCCTGTGGTCCTTGTTAAATCTCAGTTTCAATACCTACGAAGAACGACTGTTATTGCATGTGACAAAATAAGGAAATGTTGAATATAAATATGTTTTAAACGTACAACATCATCGAATTCCATGCCATCATCTTGCTCAGGATCTTTGATCGAATAATTTTTCCCTTCGTTCTCTGGATGCTGATTCGATGGGCCTGATTTCAAATGTCTGTCCAGTGCAGCTAAATCTTGACGATCTATCAATTCGTACGCTTGCATCGGCCAGTTTGATGGTGGTCGTTCTCTGCATCTGTACATCACATCTTTTAGTAACAGTGATACACCGGGTGGCAAAATCTCAAGGTCTTTCTTGGTCATGCCTGAAGATAAATATTTTAAGTTAGAGAAAATTAACGGTATTTGGAATCTAAGAAACATACCCATTTCATGATATATTAACACTATCCTATCTATCGTGGAATATTCAATTTTCTTAAATATTTCCTTCTCGCACTTAGTTCCATTCTCTTGGAAATCTATTCGACTACCGATCGGAATCACGTGCTTTATAATTTTATCGGTGTCTGGTACATTTGGCTCATTCTCATGCGCTATGAGTGCAGTTAAGTAAACTATGTTTTTCGTTTTTGGATTTACTTGGCTTAAGTAAGGGAACGGCGTCGTTTCCCTCTTGTTTAATAAATTGTCTAACGTTTCGAATATATTTGACGGTTTCGACTGAATGTAACTTGGTACTGTGATCTTCTGCAAGTCCGTCTCACTGATCTGGGACGAGACGTCTCGTAAGTGACAAAGCGAAGGAAAATCGAGAAAATAATGATGGGAGTACATCTCGAATTTCAAATCTACGCTCAACTGGTACAACAACTGACCGAGCAAAGGTAAGCTCTCTGACATCACGCAATTCAATTTCAATTCTTCGTACAACAGATGCAACGAGAACAGAACTAGCGGAAAATATGGGAACAGAATAGATTGCACGTTGATTCTTCCTGTGCTACTCGATTCTGTAATATTTGGCACTGATGCCTGAAGAGCGCTGGCCGTTTTCTGCAGACCAAGTATATTCGAAGTAAAAACTTGAGGATTTCCATTTTTTAGGGAATGTATCATGTACATCCAATCGTCGGTGGTTCCTGAATTGTTCGTTTTCTGTTTCTTCGGCACCACCATTGGGCTGTTGCGCTCGGCAAGCTGGTTGTTTTCATTTCTTTGGATTAATTGTAACTTTTCAACGTCGTAACCCAATAACGTGAATAAGACCACAAGGAAAAGATACCATTCTTGTTGTGGCGAGAAATCTTGGGGTCCAGGGGCATTTCGAGCTCCGTACCATTTTACCAGTAGCTGCATTGCTAAATCTTTCTGCAGTACACTTCTTAGAGTTTGTAAACATTTAGTAACTGTAAAGAGATATTAAAGGTAATGTCGAGTCGAAGTTAAATGTGCTGTATACAATTGGCATTACCTAAAGGAGAGGTGCTGGATGTTGGCAAAGTTATTCGAAAGTAATTCTTATTGCCATATTCCAGAGTAACCTTATTTCCTACTGCTTCTTTTAAAATAAGAATATTAGAATCTACTATAGAGTTTTCTAATAAAATGGGAGGCCTTGCACAGTTCCCTCCAACTGGACTCAACAAGTGCAGTCCTTCCTCGAATTTAAGATCGTGTGCAGCAGCACAATTCTGAGAGATCAATGAACTTCGTCGTGGAAACGGAGAGCCTAGTTTAGAATTAATACTGGATAAAAAATAATTGCACCCAGCCAAATTCGGGAGAATTCCTGTGACATGCAGTTTGCCCACGCAAATCACACCGGAGTATAATACTACTCCATTCGATAAATCCATGGTAGCTATCATATGCAAATTCTACAAGAAATAATTCATTTTATTCTTATAATGATAATTATAAATAATTACGTGAAAAAGATATGAATGAATACTAACTGGTATGTTGACGGCGTCCTTTGCTACGATGCTTGTTACCATGCCGAAAATAATTTGCTGTTGCTTGTTAGTTTTCTCGAGCCTAACTAAAAACAGTTGAGATCGTTGTGGAACCAAATAACACAAGTAACTCTGCCCGACAAGATCCGATGATAAAAATACTTTAGATGCCTGACCAGATGTAACTTCCCTTAAAAAGTATAATACAATTAGCGATAATGATACGGTTTTACCAATTAATATCTCTTAACTTACTTCCTAGTTAAAGTCCAAAGGAATTGAAAACACAAAGGAAATCTGTAATAGGGTATTTAAAGATAGGATTTCAAAGGATTTATAACAGATAAGTGGAGTACTTACTTGGGAATCCCAACATTTTCAGTCCACACATGATCAAAGCAAATTTCAGGATACAGAGGTTTACTTGATGCTATAACATCTTGCTGCTGTATATTACTACAACTGCCACCTGGACTATTTTGTGTACGATTCAATGCAGAGGCCATAATTATCTGATGTAATCTAGTGTGGTGAATGACCGAAGAAGGTGGTGCACCAAGTGACGGTGAAAATGCAGAATGAGTGGGAGATTGACAGCGTGAAATAGTTGCCATTGGACTCTGAGATCTTGAGTGTTGCTGTTGTTGTTGCGAAGGAGATGGTCCTCCTGAGCAAGTCGTGGTATAAGATGTTCGGGAACCAAACGGACTATTCGTTATTCCTAGTCCAATTGTGCTTAACTGTGGATTTGGTACTCCTAAATTTCAATTATTTATTACAAATATCAGTATCTTTAGATATAAGGTATACTCTAAATTATTTCGATAAGAAAACCAACAATTTACCGAATATACTTAAATGTCCTTTATTTGTACAGTTTTTGTTATATGAAAGATTACTTCCGAAATTTAATGGCGACGCACTTGCAGAATGAGTAAATATACTAGTGGTGGAGTCATTGCTACCACAAACTATCTGACATTCTTCCATTGACGCTTTACGTATTTTATATACAGAATGCAATCCAGTCTTCTTGTCATATATCACAGCCAAAGATGGTTCAGAACTAGTGAATACAATTTTCTGATTTGAATCATACATATACGATATGCTTCCTACAAATATTATAATATTTATATAGAAATAACTTTAGCTAATTTCAATATTGTGGAAAATGCATAAAAATAGTAATACTACCATGTTTAATAAGTACAGGGCAAATTTCATCTAAAGGATGCATCAGAGAAAAAGCCACTGGTAAAGTTGTATCATTATGGAATTGTAATCTATTTCCATCTAATGATGTATACCTGTAAATGTTAAAAATAAATACTGATAATGCATATTACTTCAGTGAAATTTACAGTATTTTTACAGAACAACAAACAAACCTCATTTCAGATGTAGGAACTTGTGATTTTTCTAACAAAATTCCATACTTTATAGGCCAGACTGCAGACACCTAAATTACAATGTAATTTAAGATATATGTTTATTAGAATGACTATGTATATTCTATTATTATGTAACTTTTACCTGAAATTGCAAGCTGGATACATAATTTTCACCAGTTTCTGTGAATACCTTAAGAGTATAAGAATCGATCAAACATATACATTCTATTGCTTTGTCATTACTTTCTTCATCTTCTAATTCTTTCCCCTTCAACACATGACTAGGTATACTAGTATGAAATTTACACCATAATGCATGTTTAATGTCCGTTTCACATGTATAAGTTGTTTGTAACACTCTGGTATTTTGACTACCCTTTGAATGAATTGCAACCTTGCCTGAGCAATATAATTCTTCTTCTCCACACAAATCATTCTCGCGTACAGTCCAAAAGTCTTTCTACACATTTTATTAATTTAATTTGTTAGAAACTTCAGTACCAAGAAATATTACTCTCTTACTATTGCAATAATAATAATAATAGTAGTAATAGTACATACCGGTGATCTATCCGAAATATTTACTTGGCTAAATTTTTGTAATAAAATATTCTCTCCAACAGTAGTTTGGTTATTTAATGTTTGTTGACTAACTACTGGTTCAGGATGCCTTAGAATTATCTGTCTTCCACCAGGAGTATACTCCTTCGAAAATAAAAATGTTTAAATAAAATTGAAATAATAAATTGATTTTATAATGTTAAGTAATTTAAAAAATGATTTATCTTGATTATATTATTTTAACCTAAAACATTGATGACCTACCACCGGTTCTGAGGCGGCAATCATCTTCTCCCTAGTTTCATCCAGATTTGCTGACTATAATTATGAAAAATTGAAAAAAACAATATTATTCGATATTTATTTAAGATTGTCTTGCAAAGTTAACTGGAAAGTGATTTCGCAGATACAGTGTTGTTAAATGATGCATTACTATGGACGTCGCCATATTCGAATGTGTATATATCGATGCATACAAAATTTACATACTATACCAAAATATGACAAGCGTGTTTATTATGTCATAATTTTTTTAATTAACAAATAAAACACGATATGATCATTTATACGTGTAAAGAGTTTACAGATTTATTTTACCAAAGCATACATATTTACAAATACTTTGCAAAATTGTTACTGCAGGTAGAAATTACATCATCTTTTTCTTATAACGTTAAATCGATCGACTAAAGCACTTAATTCTTTTAGTTCAATAAGAACTGATTGCTCCGTTATGTTAAATATAATAAAACTATAAATAGTATAAAAACATAAATACATATATAAATTGTGAAGATATTATTTTAAAGATAAAAAATAAAAAATTTATAAATAAGTTCAATATTCAGTATCACTGAGTACATTTGAATTTGGAAATTTGTCTGTGTACATTTCCAAGGAATCTCGATTAATGGATATTCAGTAAAAAACGGAATATGAATTTTATTTTAAAACTATGATTAAGAGTATATATCGAACCTTTTTACAGTTAAATTATAAAATAAATCATATTACATTTCTTTTAGTACTGTATTCTTTGATGGAACGGGTATGCATATTTTATAATTCCTTGGAATAAATACTCATTTGAAAGAGAAATTTAAAACGCACTTAAAAAAATTGCGATATTAAAAGCATTCGAAGAGCACTGTCAACACGGTACATGTCAATCTTTGTGCCGAGTGTGCCATTACTTATGTGTTGTACTTAAATTATTTGTCATTAAAATTTTTAATCTTTCTAATTTACATTCAGAATGTTTTACGATGAATTGCTCTTATACCGTCTTCTTCATATTCCTTTTTACTAACCCACATCTTCTTAAATGTATCTAAGGAAGCTAGAATGGACCCACCAATCCAAGTACTATATAATCGTTCCTGAGGTGCTGATATCTAAATATTAGGAAAGAAATATTATTAAGGGAAATAGCTGTAATGAGAAATATAATTTCAATTAAATGTTATGCATACCCTAATTTTTACATCCTTTGGTGACATTTTACGAATTTCAGATAATAATCTGTCACCGAATCCCTAATGCATGAACAATACATGTATAAAATATAGTTCATTCTAGATTTCGCATACAAGCTTCATTAATTTCATACTTACACGGAATAATGTTGATCCCCCAGATAAAACAATATTCTGGAATAAAACCTTTCTCAAATCTAGGTCAGATTTTTGAATGGAATATGTTAACACTTCATGAAGTCCTTCGCATTCCTCACCAATCAGATCTGGTCTAAAAAGCACTTCAGGAGCTCTAAATCGAGCTGGACCAATCTAATGTAAAGAAGTATCATATTTTCCATACATCACACAATATAAAGTAGATTTCAAATGTGTCCAAATTACATATTATGGAACTGAACTATAAAATTACCTCTAAATAGCTTCCATCAGGCAATATATATTGAAATTTTTCTGTTTCAATTGTTTCTTCCTTCTGAGGATTGCTAGCAAGATAGCACACACGTTCTTTAATTGTCCTAACAATTTCAAATTCTGCTGTTGTTTTAAAGTTAATACCCTCTTTACGTAAAAGAAGTCTGAGATGTCTTGTAACATCACGTCCTGCTATATCAACCCTCATAATACTATGAGGCATAGCAAAACCTTCATAAATAGGTACTGCATGTGTAACACCATCTCCAGAATCTAAAACAACTCCTGTTGTTCGTCCTGTGGCATATCTATAAAGATTGAATGATAAAAGTGTCATCTATTATTGAAGAATATCTCTGAATGATATTATTAAAGTAAAAAATTTATAGATCAAATACCTACAGACTAAGAACTGCTTGCATAGAGATAAATAGAGCTGGAACATTAAATGTTTCGAAAAATATTTCTGCTGCCTTCTCACGATTTTTTCTTGGATTAAGAGGTGCCTCTGTTAATAGGACCGGATGTTCTTCGCAAAATGTAGCTAGTTGATCTTTGCCATACACATAAGACCAAATTTTCTCCATATCATTCCAATCTGTAACAACTCCATGTTCCATCGGATAATGGAGAGATAAAAGGCCACGATGTTCCTCTGCAACTGGACCCATGAACAAATTTCCTTCCAAAGCACCAGCCATAACACGCACATGTTTGGGTCTGCCAATACTATAAAATGTCATTGGGTCAATTAAATAACATCTATACATTAATAGTAATAAGAGATCTTTTTTTATTACAAGCAAGCTAAAAATAATTCCTAAACCTGAATGATTCATAACGCTTAGGATAAGAAACTTTGAAGTTACTTTACCACCTAACAGTAACCGCAAAGTGAGCACTATTAGGAATATTAATTAGACCATATAGAATAATGTGCTTACTAATTGGGAAATCTGCATTTTGGTATTTGATCCCCAGCGAATCCTGCTTTTATTACACCTGAACCCTAAAAGATACAAAAAAATCACGTAACCACATTACTATCGATTTAAAATTGCAGAAATAATAACAATTTCAAAAAACATCGGAATTATTTGACACACTAAACGATCGAAAAATGGAGTGATTCATTTTAGAAAATAGAAAACAGTTTGCTCGTGAAATCGAACAATGTATTATTTGCCGATAATTTCAAGGAGAAAGTACGAAAATTTGGTGTTACTCAGGAGCCGACATTATGGTATGATTTCAATTTGACATACCGATTCGAAGGATGTAAAAATTTTAACGATTTTTGAATTTTATAAGTCGCTTACGTTGTCGATAACCACCGGTTGATTAATTATGACATCGTAGGGCTCCATAATTATTTGAAAAACGTAGTGTTTTATGTAAGAACTTTGAAAATTCACAAGTGTAACCCTCAGCCACACACCTATTCTCTGGTGAGGTTTGAAGGCAGTTATTGACAGGCGAAACAAAATCACTTCTTCCTACTAGTCGCAAACAGGGTTGCCAATAGATGATTTAAATTTGAACTTAACAAAGCCTCGCAGTAACTTATTGCTAAAGATATCTGTATATATATTTATATATATTTTCATATTTTAAATACATTGATAAGTAAATAAATTATTCTTGAAAAAAGGGCATAAATATTTTCAACGTGTTTATTTTGAGATCATTTAACATTACAGTATAGTTCTTGTTTAACAAGTCACAGCCAAGATCTGAAAGTTGCTTATGTGTTTAACTATTTCGCATAAAATATTTTCCTTTACTAAATTATCTTTCCGTGTATATAAACATGTGTCCGATACATATGTTAATTATTTAAAAATCAGTGCAACTTAAATGATTTAAAAAACGATAATACAAGAATAAAATGAGAAAGTAATCAAATTTAGTTAAAAAAGAGTTACATTAATACTAACTAATTACATTGTATCAAGTAGGAAAACAATCTATTGTTGGTTTGTCTAAAAATCTTTTACTTGAACTCATTGTTAAAACAGTCTTCGCACATAATAAACTTTACATGATCGCAATACGCGAGTGAATGTTTTGAATATACTTTTGTGCAATCTAATGCAACTCTATTGCATTACTTTGTAAAATCCATACACCTATACCTTATCAAAATCCTTCCATTATGAAAAAGAATCTTTTCATACAAGCGATTCGGATAACTTATAGGATATATCACATGTTATTACATTTTCCGTAAGCAGTAGAAAGTCTTTTGATTTCGGTACTATAAAAGGGGTATACGTGGAAGTATCTAGGCTTAACGTAATGCTAAAATTAGTAGATTTCCGCCATAAGTAGAACAACCAAAGATGTCCAACCCGTGAACGGATGGCTTCCTTTGCCTTCTCCATGAACGTCCGCATAATTCTCCCATACATATCCAGATCTTTTATATTGCTTGATAATATTCTGTATCAAATTTTGCCTTAAACTCTGGTAAATGCTCTTCGCTTTCTCTCGATACGGGCCTTCCACATTGGAATAGTGATGAGTTGCCCGTACTGTTAAGTAATTCAAGTTCATCCAAATAGGTCCTCTCCAGTAAGGAGGATCGTGTTCGGTATTATATTTCATGTACAACGGCGACGTCTTAGCGAGTGAACGCAGGCCGTATTTAGTCCATAGAAGATTGGGATTCGTTAAATCCTCTAACATCTTACCTAACTGTGGAGACTCGGGATCAACGATTTGCAGAATGTATGGGAATAATGAAACATAACCGAAAGATGAGTCCACATATTTTAAAGTTGGATCTTCCAAAACGACTCGTATCATTTCCGATGACTGTACATGGGATCTCGGAGGTGAAGTTGGTCTTTTTAATGTTACTTTGTCTGTATGCAGGCCAAAATCGGCATAGGTTTGCGTATTCGGCGACCAATGTAATTGGTTTAATAAATTATTATCCGATAAATATTTGTACGTCTCTTGATACTTCTCATTAGGGTGACTTATAATGTTGCTGATCTGATACATAATGTCAGCAGCAATCGCAATCCAACAGCGTAGATCAACGTGTCGTTCGTCAACATTTGGATGAGATGCTCTCGGATAATCGTCTAATCCAGATGTGAGTGTTTTTGGATTCAGCTCTCTGTTCGTGGTACCATCTCTACCTCGCCACCTGTAGGTGCTTGGTATGTCTCCAATTTGTGTAGTATTGAACCAATTAAACCATGCCTGAAGACGGGGATACAGTCTGTCGAGAAACTGGAAATGCCTCTCCAATATTTCCTCTTGATTGTGTTCAAGAATGAAACTTAGTGTTAAGAAGAACATGGGCGGATTAGCGTTTGTGTTGATTTGGGTAACAAATTCTTCTGGAACCTTCGATAGAGCTTCTTGACCTAGAATCATTTCTCTCGGTATCCAGCCTTCGACGTTCATCAAATCAAACCAATGATTTATGATATCTAATTCGATTTCTAAGTCCCACGTTGATATGAGTAAACCATGGAAACCCTCGTCCCATAGAAAACCTCGCGGGAAGAAACTTCTGCTAGGCACAGCAGTGTATAAAGGTGCTTTCCAGTAAGGCACAGGTCCTTTGGTATATTGGCTTTGCACTTGTGAAGTTCCATAAAAATATCCTATAGAACCTACCATATTTGAAAGGGACATTTTCGCAAACTGGATTTCCTCCTCCGTGTAACCCTTCGACCGCAAGTGAAATTTCTCTTCGAACTTTTCACTGAACAATCTCCGCTGCACTTCTAGAGCGCGTTCATAATTTTTACCAATTAATTTGTCGTTTCTATTTATAAAACTACCAGATTCGTAACTAACTTCTATTACAAAAGGAATTCTTCCTGTGATTTGTGATACAATGAAATTTGCATCTTTTTTCTTCCCATCTACTGCTAATGGTACTTGTTCACCTGCTAAAACTATGTGTTTCTTCTGAGATCCTTTATGAGATGCTACTCTAAGATTCTGAAGTACAGTCTCTCTCAAGTGACTTAAACTAGGAGCAACAGTTGCTAGAAACGAGTGCTCTTCTATACTCCCTTCAACTACATTAATATTTATTGTAAATGTACCTAAGCCTTGAGTATTTCCTTCTACACCCGTTATATGTTTTTCATCCCCAAGAGTGGTTTTAATCCATCCTTTGGTGTGTTCATCTGTGGCAGTGTAAAAGAGTAAAGACATTTCTTCACCATCCCGTATTTGTCTCTCAGATGTTACAGCTATTCTTGCTGTCCAATCTCCACCATGTTTACCACCAGGTCTTTTAACAAATGTAGTATTTAAAATAGCTGAACCATCTATTATTTCTTGGATACCAAAAGTTCTTCCATCATGTTCCAGCCATGCGTATCTAAGTCAGATTTAAACAAATATTATATATGTGATGATCATGTTAGATAATTAAGTGTAAAATATTATTTACCTGTCCAATTTATCCCCTTGTTCACACCAATGTCTAAGGCCACTACCATCTTGACGCAAAAGATGTGGAAAATACCACATTAATCCTGTTACTAAAGAATGCGGATCTCTTGTTTTTAATCCAAAATAAACACCTGGGCGATAAGTACCCCAATATCTGTCTGCAACATCTAAGCCAGAAGCTGTAACTAACTATTTTCAAACAGACAAAAAGAATATTATATTATTATTATTATTATAATGTTACCAATAAAATTATAATATTCTGATATATTGATAAATAAAATATACTTTTTCTACATCATATGGTGTATTCACTCTAGTTTCCAAATATCCTTTATAACTGAACCAGGCTGCAATAGCAATACATAAACTTGTAATTGCAGTATTCAACACTGACATTTTAAATTTACTTTCTTTTTTGGTGTCACTAGAATTTGAAATTTTATTCTTTGGTTTTGTAAACTTATCTTGTGTTTTATTCTTAGCCATATTAATCGTCCTGAAATGAATTATAAATATTTTTGTAATCACTGAAAGTGAGATTAGATATATATTTTTCTCGTAAAATTAATTATATATTTTTAATATATACCATAAGTATAAAGATGTTGTGACTTTTGAATATTGAAATATGAAATATAAATATTTTTTGTTTTAGTAATGTAAGACGGATTAAATAATTCCTCATTTAAATTATACTTTGATTTACCTTTACTCGATTCATTCATATCTTGAAGGTTATATTTAGCAATAAATTTAATACATACCTGTTAAAAACCGAAAAATAGAATACACCTGTATACTTTTAAAAAAAGTACGAAAAATGTATGACGTATACAAGTTACATCATTCCTTCTAACCGATTTTATTACGAAGCCACGTGAAGCAATAAAATTGGTGGCAACATATAGGAGAAAGTAGCGCTATCTTTTAAATTATGTTAAAGATTTATCAGCAATAAAGAATTTGGAATAATTATACTTTTCCTCTCTGTTCCCTAACTATTATACATTGATAAACATATTACCATAAATTTGTTAATCAAGAAAAAGTCATCAGAGTCATAAAAGTCTAATAGTTAACATTTAAATTTTTATTTATCCAATTAGTTGCATATATTACAAATAAAGCATTTACTATCACACAGTAATCATAATTGGGAAGAGCTTATAATTATATTGTTTATATATTTATGTATGTAAATCTTTGATTAGTAATTATAATTCTACCATGTGAGCACATTGTTTAAATTTTCAAATGGAAATGTTTGAATGTCAGTATTGTTTGACAAAACTTTGTCATGATTGAATGTTTTGTACATGTATACCTTTCGCTAATTAAATTTTCCTTTAATATAATAATTTCCATTCGAATTTTAAGCAAGTACATCACGTGTAAAATGGTCACTTAGGTATTACAATGTATTATGATTGAGAGAATATGCTAATATCAGCGAGTGTCGTGTATGTGTGTAATTTATTTCGTTTATGTCTAGTATCTTAAATACCTTATACATATGTTTTTAAAAATTTTGTTAAAACAACTGTGTATATACAATGTTGATAATATGTAGATTTTTGTGAATATTAAGACTAAACAACAGAATATTCACCTTAAAAATATAACTCAGTGTAAGACTGTGAATAACTATTTCTTAGTTTACAACATATAATAGTAAAACATGTTCACAGCCAGCAGTATACATTAATTACAATAAAATTAAGAATATAAGAAATAAACTTTTTTATATCTTGCATTATATTGTTTAGAGTATCTTCTTCCGATGATATAAGATATTTTTGAAATAATGTATTTATTGTTTACTTAGAAGAACATAATAGGGTCATAAGTATTGTTGTGTCATGTAAAAATTATATGTCATATAATTGTGTATGGTTTCTTTATTCTTTCATATAAGGCTCAGTGAACCTATAAAACAATTAACAGAAAATTAATGTAACACCAGTATATAAAATAAATATTAATATGAGAAAAATAAAATATATATATACATGCATAGGAATGTCATTGGCATGAGGTACATTATCTTTCGCTAGTCTACAATATTCTTTTTTATATTTACTATATGTTACCTTCATCCATAAATAACGCTATAATATGTTCTACAATAGCATACGTGATTCACTCAGAATGATAAGTCTGTAGTGTTTCACTACTTTAGGAATTAGTGTTAACATAACACCTCCTCTTCAATTACACGAAACATGTTACAAATCAACAAATATTATTTATTTCTTTAAACTAAGTATACAACATAAATTTCTCTCTTATTAATTATGAAACTTCTCTTTTTTTGATTTTCTCTATTGAAAATAACAACGTGCATAATTTATTTATAATTTCAATGCTTCATATTGCTTTTGTGTGAGCTAATATAAATATATGTCAACGAACATCACATTGAATCAATAAAATTTGTATGACAACAATATAACTAAACATCAAAATATGCACACATATAAAGAAAGGAACATAAGTAGACGGTTTTACGAAAATTGAAATAATTCTACGTAAATTGCGTGTACATTATGTATAGACAAAAGTTCGTACACACACCGAAAAATGATTGTATTCAGCAATATAAATTCTATACAATGTGTGGTATCATTTCTGTGAATTTCATTTTTCTGTTCTTTTTTTTTAATAAATATTGAACAGACTATCTTGTTGATTGTTTGTAACAAACGGAATTTACGCATCATTAGTAGACAGAATATACATAGAGTAATATCGAATTACTCAAAATAAACTAATATCTGTTTGCAGAAATACTTAATTTATTATTTTTCAGGCCTGAAAAATATTGATTGTTATGTATAGTGCCTCTAATACTCGTAAATACTTTCTATAACAATGTGATTAAGCAAATATGCAACTGTATCTACTATAAATCTCTCTTTACAAGTGATAACATATCTTTTCACTATGACCATTGATACAATTGTATTATTCCTAAGTGAAAGCAAATATTTTTCGATTTTATCTTCTTAAATTCACAGCGTAAATAAACGATGCAAAATAAATGCTAATTTATTAAATAGAAGATTCAAAAATGTTGATTATAAAAAATGCATGTTAATAATACTGTTTCGTCTTGGTGTAATAAAAATATAAAATTCTTTGTGAAATAAAATTATGAAATTAACGTAAAAGGATAAAGATTGAGTGGTACACTGCTTTAAACGCAACTGCGTATACTCCAAACACAGAATAAATATTAAATATTTCTGCGGCCAGCGCGTATAAATTAAAATGGTCAAATGGATCTATAGAACATCATAACATTCTTTTTCCTTTTCCAAATTATGTTTGATGTTCAGGTATTAATATCATTTCCATAGAAATGGAAATCCCTCTCTTTGGTTTTTGGGCATTGACGATATCGCAACGCAAGTGGTCAGATGAATGAGCGCATTTTTTTCACTACATACATCTATGGAATACATCTTTCGCTATCTTTGTAATAATTTACTAATTTAAAAGATCATCATTAAGAGATTCGAAATCAAGTTATATCAATGAAAAAATACTTTAATTTTTCATTCCTACGAGTTCAATAAAAGTGTCAAGTAACAAATAAATAAATGAATGAATAAATAAATAAATAAAATAATCTTTAGATGTATCCAACATATAACTGATTAGAAATTAATATTGCGCTTACAAATTGATGTATTCGATCGACTGACCACTTGCGTTGACCACGATTCATTTCCGCAAACTATCCTTACTGCTTGCTCGGCTAGTTGAAGCTGTACTAGATTCTCCAGGACCACCAGCACCTCCTGCGTCACCATTAATACTGGATCCAGCAAGAGATGCTGTTGGCGTAACCGGAGCTGAACGTCTCGTTACTTTAGTTAAAGCTTTATCTAATCGTTGTATAAACATATCTACGTCCGATCTCTTCATTCCCAAAGCAGCTGCAGCAGTCAAATACGGTACTGGGTAATTACTATTATGAGCTCCCCAACCTAAATACAATTTTATATAATAGATTTTTAAGTTCTGCACGCAGTCTATATTTAGAGACAATACAAACCTTCAAACTTATGTGAAGCAACGTGTCTACATTCTGCACCCGTTATTACTCTTGTGCCACTAACATTTCGAAGGAATAATATTGAACGTAACATATGAATTTGTTGGAAACCATTATGTTGATTTAAGAATTGTAGGGTCATTCCCATTGATATTGGATTTCCTTTAGTATCCAGCAATCTCTCGTCATACCTGGCCGCCAATTTTCCAAGTTCATCTTTCAAATACGAATACATTTCTTTGCGTTGTGTAATTAATTGTTTGTAACCAGCCATTCCTAAGCTTAATAATGTTATCATTACGTCCATGATTGAACTAGCACTCGCACGACCAGGATACATTTTTGATATGCGATCTAACAATTTCTTGTCGAAAGAACCAATGATTGCACCACCAACTGGTACCAAGAAATTCTTATCTGTGCTTTGAACGAAAGCGTCGACACGTCCTTTGCGCGATGCTTCTTGTATAAGATGCATACACCTTGTACTTTGTAATCTTTAAATAATAAGATACAATAAACGACTATGTAAGGTACATTCAAATTGAAAATATATATAATTGCAGTACAATATTTACCCATATGCATTGTTCACTAAGTGGGGGATGTTGTATTGAGTACAAAGCGCGGCAATAGCATCGATAGAATCGCATGATCTAGGTGCGAAGCAACTAGTCGTTGTAAGGACGCAAGCAATGCTTTCACCTAAAGCTGCCATTTGAGACTCGAGTCTTTGCATATCTGTCTTTACCTCATCCCCAATTATTTTTGTTTCGATAACAATTGGCTCTAATCCAGCTGTATATATTGACTTAAAACTTGATTTTTGATCAATTCTAGACCACAGGACATACTTTGCTCTTGGCCTATCTTGTTTAAATGTTAGCATACATAACACCAAGCTCATACCTGTAGCCATTGGTGATAAAAAACAGCCTGCTATACTTTTTACACCTAGAATGAAAGCTATTTTCAATACAGTGTAAATGCCAGGCACAATTAAAGTTAAGGAATTTAGAATCAACAATCTCACCCATATATCGAATAACTTCAAGTACCAAAGCATTTGTTAATTTATACATTAAACTACTTCCAGCAGCTTTTGGTTGTACTTCTTCTAAATCACTTGATCTACCTATACCATGTCCCATTCGATAATGTCGTTTTGCAACAATGTTTGATATAATTCTTGCCTCGCGTTCTCCAACACTACAGTTCGAAGGGAAATTGTTACTATCCATTTGGGATAAATCTGAGAGAAATGCTTCTATCGTTGTATCGTCCCAACCCTCTTCTGGCCATTTTTGCTAGTGTTAAAAGGTATACGATTATTAACATTGATCATCGACATGTTCTATCAGTGTTTTAATAAAATTTGTATAAGACCTTACGTGTTCAATGAATTGTCTGATAAGGTTTTCACGTGCTTTTTTTGCATTCAAACCTTGTTGTACATAAAGCGAGGGGATAAGCTTCTCTGCTAGACTGAACGCCTGATTATTCATCTTCTTGAGTTACCCAATTCTTCTGAACACTTAGGCCACAAATCTTAGGAAGCTTGATGCTTTAGCACACGATTGCTTTTAATAATTCATGTGCAACTATTAGAACAATTTTTAAATAACAGTTACCTAATATTAAATGTATATTATATAACACAAAAGAGATGATATACACATGTAGAATAACATTAGATGGTGTCAAACAATATCACAAAATATATAAAAAATTCTTTTACTAACAAAATATTATTTATTCAAACTGATAATGAAACTTAAATAACAATTAAACTGAACATGTAATATATATATATATATATATATATATCAACTCTTAAGTATTGTCGGTATAGGAAAAAATATAAAATCTATGTTAAAAAATAAAAACACGAATTCTGTGCAGTTCAAAAGATTTATACATCATTTTAACAGTTTACAAAAAATACTGCGAACAAATGTAATATTACAAAAATTTAAAATAACACAAACTTGAATGAAACAATGCTAAAGCAGCGATGAAACTATAAGTAGACTGCGGACTTTACACATTAAACAATGACTCAATTAATTTTTTTCATACTATTCGTAGCCAGATCAAGTCGAAAATAGAAAATACAAGTTTCAAGTTCACACATCTCCCAAGAACCGATGGCAAAATTCAAGTTCGTCGAACGATCCGCAGTCAAATTATAAAGAACAGTGTGTCACGAACAAACGAAACAAATGTTTGTTTAACAATGAAAAAGTGTTCCATAAAATTGTCCGAACGCAACGTTGAACGGTCGTGAAGGTTATGTGTGTTTGTATTACTGAAATATCGGCAGAAGAATGGAAAACTGAACGAAGAACGAACATCTATCGCGCCGAAGATCGTTTCGCGCGAATCGTGAAATAAATAAAGGAAGCCTGTTCACTTTCGAACGATGATAAATGTCACACGGGGCGGTCCAAAGTGTTGGGAACGTGAAAAGTGGGTTGGGCTATGATGAGGTTCCGGAGTAGCGAGCGGTGCATCGATGATCATGCACTACCTGACACATTCCCAAATAGTACTCCTAGTCGTGATTTCATGCGTTCACGTTCAACGGAACCAAGCGAGCGCGTAGACGGCTCGCTGCGTGGTCATCCGGGTAATTGTCGGCGGACCCAGGCTTGTTAGGTTATGTCGCGTCGAGGTCACCTAAATCGGATTAATTTTACGCAATACAGAGGATGCAACGTAATTGTTTGACCACGGGGGCCTGGGGACTGCGTCTCGGAGTGTCGTCGGTCACACGATGTGCACCGCGGACGCGTGGAAAATCGCGAAATTCGTCCGGCACGGGATTTTACCTCGAATTATGGCGTTCAGACGACAGCGGACGGACGTGTTAAGCACGGCGCTACGAACGAATTCGTCCGCCGCCTTTACAGGTCCAAGTGACAACACGCGTACGATTGGCAACTCAACTGTCCGGCAGGTGCATCATTTACTGATAATTACCCTCTTCCTTCCTTGCATTGAAATCACCGATCATCCACACGCTGATACGAATAATGGATGTGTCCGTAATGCCGAGTCACCGATTATTAAGTATGTCATATGTGTGTTCTCTCAACTTTTACACCTATTAATTTATTAACGACCGACACTCTGGTTGCACGATTCCCAATTCGTTTGCTATTCATTCACTCTTAATTTTGGTGTTCAGTGTTCCGCTGGCAGGTCATTTTATTTGTCTCTTTGAAAAAATGATTATGCGAGCGCGTGATGCCTTCGGCAGTAGCAGTAGCATCTTACATCACGCGAATGAATTTTCCGAAATAAAATATGCGACGAATATTTGGACGTTAATGGGTTAAGATTTAGGTCATAGTGTTCGACGTCTGTCATTGTCTGTCTCATGCACTCTCTTGTCAACGTTTGTTTGCCGTTTCTATATGTATAGAAAATTGGATACTTTGAAGCGCAGTTATTTTAAACAGTCACAATGGCGCGATATAGTCGCAGACACGTGCATACATATAGATAGTATTTATTTATTCCCTCGTGACGATTCCCTCGTACGATTGTATTAATTATTTTCATTTGACTTCCACATTTGTTCGTTTCTCGTTCTGCAGCGTACCTTTCATTTTGGCTGTCCCCTAATTGTTCTGTCATTAATCGAGATCTCTTCCATCGAAGCTGGACAGGACACGTCGACTTGACGTTTAGATATTTGAAGTTTTTAATTTCTTGCTGTTTGCCAGTCGTGACGTACAGTCTACCGCAAAAATGTTACGTAATTGTTTCCCTCGATTTATGCTTACAAAAACCTTTGTTACTTCTAATAGAGTATAGACAAAAGTAAATTCGTTCGTTCCATTCTATGATATTAATTATTATAAGACATGTTCGGTGTTATTAGCATAAGATCGTATTATTTGACTAATCAATGTTACATTTAATCACACGTATATTATGGGCACAATTATTACAGGATAATATCACACCAATTATTAATATTAATTTGCAACGCATCTTCCTCGAGGAAAAAACAGATTGGCGGAACACGTTGTTCGAATGATCGTAATTTTTCGCGCCACGGAAGTTTCGACAGTTTCGACGGTTTCGAACCACATAGGAACACTTCGATTTTCCATATTGGTATACTTGCACGGAGGTCAACGCGATTCAGTGGACTGACCTCACAGTGCGCGGTGCGGTTCGCATTGCGAGGCAGTGTCGAATTAGTGCTCAAATGATAGGTCGTCGTGCTGTGTGTCCGTGTTTAACCTATACGAGAAAAATTAGCCTTAGTTGTGTTCATACTTTTGTGTAGCGTTGCAACTTTATTTTCTTAACAAGCTCCAGAGACGTAAGTATATACACGCTGAGGGAGACAAATATTCGTACACGTTAGTTTTCACACATCTGTACACATTTTCACCTGCCAATATTGTTTCCAGTATAACAGTTAATCAAACATCGTTCTTCCGAAATGATTTCACTGGACATTGACATTTCTATCGAGTCACGAGCCCGTCTAAGCTGACTCTTAATTCAATTGACACGCCAGAAATTATACGGTGGCCTGAGAAAAAAAAGAGACAATGCGGTATAAACATTTTTTTCTTCCGTTGTGCATTCCTTCAGGCTTCCAACAATAATACAAGCTTATGACGTAGCGTTGTTTCGACCGCGAATCCGATTAAACCGCGGCGAGATAAAAATTTTCCACGTTCGCCGATTCGCGTGAGATTTGATCATTGATAAACGTCATTGATAAACGTCATTCGATGTTATGCCGCGGAGACGTTCCACTGTTTGAAGAACGATTGATTTATTGGCCACGCAACTTTCGACGATAACGCTGCGGCACGTTCGTCGCGTTACATTCCTACTCTGACGACGAATTAATCAGTAAACGTCAATTAGATTGCAGTTTATAAAACCTCGCGTTGTCACGCATCAGTTCGAGGAATCCTATAAAATCGAGGTTACCGTTTCCCATAGTAGCGACGCCTACTACGATCGTTCTTTTCTAATTGTCACGGAATTAGTCGACAAGTTGATGATTTTATTCCCTCGTCTTTACAGACAACCATGGAATTGGAAACCTGTAACTCGCACGGCGACCAGGAGAACACCAGGCCCAACACGCCTCAACAGGAAAATGACCCTAGTGGGACAAAAAAATACTACCGACAGGCCACTCAAAGGTGAGTAATCATTCTTTTGTTTTTATAATTAATATCTGTAAACAAATACCACACAAGCTATGCTATAATCTGTATATCTGATACACATATGTTTATGTATCTCGTGTTTCACCCGTTAATGACTGTCCACGCGTAATTAAAAGTCAAACGCAATGACGAGTCGACTCTCGTCAATAACAATAACCATAATAAAACGCGTGGAATGGAAGCGTGACGTTCCGCAAACAAGCTGCCATTTTCATTACCAAACCTACCAACTGAAAGATACACGGTCGTTACCATCGAAAGTGACGACGTTAACCATTACCGTTCGAAGCGTTTGAAGATAACAATAGTAGTTCCATTGTTGCTGTTCCCTGATTACTGTTGACTTCCCTATTTTTATTGGCTCTGGCGTCCGCTGCCTATTATCCCTGTCGTTGCCACTGTTCTCGCCGTTAATACCGGCGTTATCGTTGCAATTACCATTATTGCCACCTTCTCGGCCTATCGAACGGTTTCGATGGCCGGGAGAACGATCCCCTAATTGCTCGGAGCGGTGCACCGCGGTAATAATTTATGGTCGGCCGGTACGAAAATCGCGAGCGAACGCGCTCATTGATAAAACCGTGGAGCCCGCGCGCGCGCGCGCCCGGCGAACAAGCAGATTTTATGATATTCATAAGATCGCCAAGGCCAGTCGAAACATCCTACGCAGTGTCAGAGGCGGCTCGATCACACGCGCAAAAATAACTCGTTCAACTTAACTTAGAAACACCGGACCGCCCGAAACCTCCAATTCAGGCCTCTTATCAATTAACGCTGGAATTACCAGCTCGCCGGGGTATCTCGTTTCACTTCAATTTCAATTTTCCCTCCGACTGAATCAACCTGTTTCGCACTAGGCCTGCGGACGTCCGTTCTATCGGCACCAGCGATCGTTCATGATTCGTTTAATTGTTTGAAATTAAGGGCTTAACCCTTTGCGGTCTGAACTCTTGGTTTTTCAGTTTGAGGTCTATTTATTTATTCAAGAATATTTGGGAGTCCTTGAAATGTTACCTTTAAATGGTACAATTGTGACGCTACAAATATAGAAAAAATTGTTAAAACAGGTAGAGGTTGACATAGGACTAAGGGTTGAAAGTAGAATATAGATTAGGATACCTGTTACAAATGTACATTGTAATCATTCCAAGAAATAACATCTAGAATGAGTCACTATGGTCATCCGGTAATTCCAGTATTGGACAATGTTACCTCCGTCCGTTGATGAAGTTTCGGCCAAGTGAAAATCGAAGAACCGAAAGAGCAAACAGCCGTGGGTGGGCAAAGCCTTCGCAAGTATTATTAGTCGTCGCCGCGGACGCGTATCTCGAAATTCGCCTCCAGCCTCGTTCCTCCGCAATGATAGCGCCCTTATCGATCCACTGCGGGGATCGCGTTCGAAATTTCTGTTTACCCGCGGAACGCAGAAACGGCGAGGTCCGTGACGCAATAAACGCTAACGCGACTCATCCGGACGCGTTGAAAACAACGCGCCGCCTTCCATTTCGAGATGCTCGAGCGTTGCTCAACGCGAGAACTGCCGGATGGACCGAGGTCCGCTCATTTCAGATTTCTCCTTTTACGATTGTTGGAAAGACGACGGATGCTTCTCCGGAGAGATTGATTTGGCAGTGCGTCAAGTCAACTATAGCTCCGCCGTTTGACGACTATCCCGAGGAACGCGGGTTTAATTGGTTCGCGTCTTTCCTCGTCCTGTTTTCAATATTAATTTGCTATTCGCCGATCGAAAGTGCGACTCGTACAGTCGAAGCACTCGCAGATTGATGCACTCTCGGAGCGTCTGCGAAGAAACTGGAAGAAATCAATAGGACTGGTTTGTAGTTCCACCGTTAATGGCTCCATATAAATAAACGTTCGTTTACAAACGCGATCGTTTTAATAACGAGACAGAAGCGAAGCCGAGAAACCTACTCGGAGAGCTTCGGATTTCAATTTCTAGGCTTCTATTTCAATTCCGTGTCCGCCTTAACGCCGCAATTACGGTGAACCACTTGCCGGAGGATCGACAAGTGCCTTTCTCCCTGTTCACGTCCCATTCACGCCCCCGCGTGCGGTTCACGGTGTTTATTTCGACACGGTTCACTCGCCGGGGTGTACCGGTGCCCGTAAAGACCTACCGTACACGCTGAAACACGTGCAGGCGTTGCGAGCGATGGGTTTGAGACTTTTCTTCTTTGGTTTCCGACTCTGAGACTTGGATCGGCGTTGTTTCATCCAATTGCAGTCTACAGCAGTTGCATCGTTTAGTCGAGAACACTTGAATTGTCTGGAAATTGCTCGATCGAGTACTTACATGTTGAAATAAAAGTGAACATCTGGTTCGACATGGTTCACAAGGTTCACGTTCGCCGTGACGGGCGTTCGGAGAAGAATAATTGATCCGTGGCGCCGCACGATCGGATCCTTCCACGATCAACGTGATCGCTCTTCGTATTTTTCCTCTTTGCCTGTTTATCGTCGCACAAATGACCCCTGCAGCCTTCTTATCTTTGTTGCTATTCCGGCCAAGTATTTGCGTGTCAGCCGTTCGCTAGGCGGCCGAAAAATCTTTCGTCCGATCCATTGCTTCGCTGTTGTTCGGCCGCGTCGCACACAGAACGCTCGTCACCTCCCCGTACCCGGAAACAGCCGTGTGAAACGTCGTTGGGATCGAATCCAGTTCTTCCATTGTCCTCGCACGATGAGCCTCCGCAACGTCGACGAGCTCGCGCCGCTAACAAGGACCGGTAATGTTCTTTTCTTCTACTCCGTCGCGGGGTTCGCCATCGGTTTTCCAACGGTTAACCGTTCCCGGCTGCGCTGAAACGTATTTCCAGTCGGTTAGCGTGTCTAGAGTCGAATGTACGAACGCGAAGGTTTCGGGAAGAGAGAGTTCTTTGAGGAACCTTGAAAGTGCCATAGGAAGAAACGGTTCTTCCGGCTCGGCCGAGGGTTGCCGGGCCAGTAACCAACATGTTCGAATGTTCTGAGGCAGGCTGGAAAGTCCGATTCCCGGACGAGTCGAGCGTCTTCCCCGTGGAGTCCTTCCAACCATCGCTGCTCGGTTTCGATTTAAATCCCGGGATCAGGTTGACCAGGAACGATCGTAGCGAGCAGGACCTGGATTGCTACAACGAGGGCAGCGGTCATGGTGCACGATCCGATAAGCGCGAGTTAGGTCACAGGTAACTCTACTTTCTTTTGCCTTTTTCCTTCCGACTCGAACACGCGGAGACGGCCCGTGATCGGCGACCGGTCGCTGCGGGCAGTTAGCTCGTAATTGGCTGGGTCTCGCTGGGATAATTGGCCCTGTAAAATGAAATCAAGTGCATCGTCGTGGACAAGCTGTCCCGTGCCACCGCAACAACGAGGAACGGACGACTAACCGCGTGTCAGCCGAGCAACCGGAAGCTGCGGACCTTTCGAAGCAGGCTGATCTCGAGTAGCCGAAAGAATTCGAACAGCTTCCACGGAATTCGGATCTCTCCGGTCTCCGGCGTGACAATAACGCGCGCGCGCGTAGCCGCAACGTCTGCACCTCTCGAGCGGCGTGTACAGGTCGCTTCAAAAGAGAGTCGACGCGTTTCCAGTAAACTTTCCTCGAGCGCTGTCGGTTAACCGTGTGTCGTATCGCCGGCTTCTATATTTCGATGAATTTATAGCGTTCACAGCTGCTGGAAGTTTAAATAGACTCTTCGTCGCGGAGTCCCAGACGAGGAACGTCCGAGAAACGTCCGAGAAACGTCCGAGAAACGCGAGCGCCGTTTTGCAACGACCGGTACATCGGGCGGGTAACGATCGCGCGCGATAAAGGTGTAGCGCACGCACTGGATTTACTACTTAACGTTTATTCCTTCTCTCCCGTTGGCTTATTGTTAGCATCGGGAGAGCCCCGATAACGAGGACAGAAATAAACGCCGCGATCCGACCGTATCGCCGCGAGTACGGGCGAAAACACTAAACACGTTGCAACACGCGAATGTTGCAATCCGTGTCCCCGCGGCACGATTTTGCGTTCAGCGTGCAGCTCGATCTTTGACGCGGACTCGGCGAAATTGTTTCTTGCAATTGGCGAGACGTTGCGTGAACTCTGCGCGTCGATCGATCTGGCATCGGGAGAACTGAACACAGGTTCGTCTTCTTAGATTAGACACTTTTCCCAACGCGTTGAATCCGATTTTTGAAGTGCCTATCTGGCCGATTGGAAACTATCGATCGCTAATCCAGATCACGAGTGTGGGTACTTTCCTGGCGAACACAAGAGTTCCAAGAAATTCGGCCGCATCGATTTCCACGAACGCTGGCTCACGAATTAATCGCGTACTTTGTGCCAGCTAGTTTTCCGGAAACTAGTGTCCTATCCAGCGGCGCCTTATCTCTGACTCCACCGTTTCCCTGGAATCCGTTCTTTTCTCTTTTAACCGAATCACGTGCGTGTGAGTTTGGATCCTCGGCTGCCTCTGGAACGAGCGACACGCGTGCCATCTTCCACGAAGCGATGCGTCCAATTAAGAATTTCATTCGAAGCTTACTTCGGAGGCCCTGTTCTCCGGCTACGTGCCACTTGGGCCGTACTCCGAGTTCCGGGCTAGCTAGCCGTCATAAAGACACCTGAGAAAGAGGACCGAGCCCCGAGAAGTACGTGCCGGCGAGCGTGTAGCTACTCCAGGAGAAATGGGACGCGATGCGTCGTCGCTCCTTCGTTCGTTTCCCGAGGAATCCCGTCCGAATCGGTACACCCTGTGCATTTAGGTCGCAGCTTGCAGTACGCTGTCCGCGCGTGTTCAGGCGTATACGGTTTCCATTGAACGATCGTGCGCTAGGAAAACAAAAACAGTAGAGGCGGGCGGCACAAGAAGCGGGGCTGATTAAGATGCACGCTGAACCGTGACGTAGGCGTACCAGCGTCTGAGATGCGTCATGCTCTATTGTTCCCTGTGGATGTGACGCGTTTCGAGTCCCCAGTCGACGTACCATCCATCTTCCTGCAGCACGTCGACGGATTCGATCAACGTGCCTGTCTTCCACCTTGGGCGTCCTGTTCTTGCTGATCCAGCAAGTGCATCGCCATCGATTCGTCCTTTGCTACAAATATTCAACGGTTTCCGATTAGACGTGGACATTCCTCGACACGGGCGAACGTACAAGACTAGAATCGTTTAATTAACTCTTTCCGAAGTGCTCTTGGTTGCTCACTTTGAGGTCCACGTTAGTTCATTCGATTACAGCTTAAATGACGCTGTATTTATTGAAGAATATTTGGAAGTCATTGGAATGTTACCCTTAAATGGTGCAACTGTGGTACCACAAATAAATATAGAAAAAATTGTTAAAGGCACAGGTTGCAATAGAATAGAATGTCGAGTCTGACTACATAGGACTGTCAGGGGTTGAACATGGCGACTGGCGTTCACCTCTCGAGCGCAGAGGGTCAACCGGAGGGTGCCCCAATGTCCTGTTTCCCCAGGTCGAAGAAACGGTCGACGCAAGAACAATAGCGGCGACTTATTCTGGTCACTGGCAGTAAACCCTGGCAATACGTCCGATAGATATTGGTTAGAATGTCGCAACAACGGACACGTGTCGGTCCTTCAGTGCCGTTCGCCGCGTCGAACAAAGCGAAACGCGTTTGCGATTATCTGCAAACGGAAAGCGCGTTCCTGGTTATCATCGCCGGTTAATTTTAGCGGGTCAGGCTGGTCGGTCGCGTCAGGATCGCCGCCTGCTCTCAGATTACTCCATCTTTCCCTCCTCCTGGAGAAATCGAAATTCCGCCGAGACACGCGGTATATTACCCCTCGGGCGTCGTGCGGTAATTACTCATGGTTTCTTATCGTCGCGTCGAATGCAGCATAGAGGCACTCGGCGCGATTCCTTATCGGCTTTCTTTTGTGTCCAGAGCCTCTCACTTTCCGATTCGAGATTAGAAAACTCCTTCAGTTAATCCTCGTCCTGGAATCGGTTCGTTTAGAAAAGTATATTTTAAAAAACGCGGACGGGGGATTCCTCGTTCAATAAGTTACAGAACGAGTGTCTTGCGTCACCTGCGGCTGATAAGAGTGCTCAAAGATTTCGACGACAGCTATTGAACCGCAAAGCGGTGCCAAAAAAAATACAATGTAGTCGTTTTCACGATGCAGCGTTGCCAGCGCGGACAATGCATTGCAATTAATGTTAATCCTCCTCGATTAACGCGACAGGCAGGTCCGCGGGATTGTTCCTCCCTCGTGGAGCTGTGCCCGATGGATTTCATGGGTCGCGGCGCCTACGATGAATTTCTGGTTCGAACGCGAACGATTTTCAGCTGTTCCCACCGCGGCACGTAATACAGTGCTAGCGAATAGTCAGAGTGAAAGTGCAGAGGACGCATGCCTTAGCCAGAGATTCGCGTGTAGACGTGCATCCTCGCTCGATGCTTGACCGACTTAACCGAAAGTCGATATCGTGAACCGCTGGCGAAAGAAGCTCGTGTTAGGGCGATTAAAACGGCAGCGGCGGACTCTGAATTAATAGAGTCACGCCAGCCGGAAATTGCCTGACGTATTCGCTCGCCGCGCTCAGGACAACGCCGTCCATCCTTTTCTTCGTCGCCGACAATAGTCCTGCAAATATTTCCAATTGAAACTTCTCACCGTGGAAAATTCACGCAGCGAATTACCGGAACGGTGTAAGCCGTTGGAATTACGTTTTCCATGTACGATAATAAATCACCATGTACTTTATCTCGGAGGCTCCCAGCGAAATCGTTATCTGCGGTTTCGTAACGGTGGAGGTCCGAAGCTCGGGGGAAAATCTAGACCGTGTAGAAAGCTCGAATTCGGCGTTCTAATTTTAGGTTGTTAAAGGAGGTAATTTCCATGTGTACGAATCACGAGTACAAGGTGACGTGACTCATTCTGTACACGCCGCTGCTGCCCGACCGATTTGTGCTCCAATGTTGCACAAAGTTCATTGCTGCACGCTCGAGCTCGTGTTTCGAATGGATACCTACACGGGATAACGCAGTTTAAGAATCACCGAAGTGTTTTGCTTACTTACTTCATTAATTTCGACGTTCCTGCCGTTACGGTCGGAACTTCCGTGAACAAAATCGGGGAGAGAATGTCCGTGAACAGTCGGGGCTCTGTCGGTAACATTCAGCGGAAAGGACAAACTGACGCAATTTTAATAATGATTTCGTGCACGGATTATGCCGGCCACTCGTGAACCGTAATTTCTCCGTGGCCGTTGCGAAACTTACGAAGCCCGTTGCCGGCACGAGAAGTTCTATCAGTTTCTTGTTTCTTGTTTCGTGACTGAAACACCTCAGGTCCAAGTTCGTCCGCGAAGTTGCCCTGCGAACGAAAGGTTACCGGGCGCAATAGCTGCACGATCCGTTCGGCACGCAACGGCTTCGCGAGACAAAAGGATTCCTCGTGAAATGGTTAACCCTCCAGCGACACTCGAACAAATGGGTAATTACGAAACAATCGTCCTGACGGTTAGCGTCAGGCGATCCTTTTCCCGCGTCCCATTCTCGGTCAGTTTTTCTGCTCGAACAGCCTTCAACTTCGTCTCTATGCCGAAACGTGGAAACAATGCTAGCGCTGCTAAACCTATTATTGCGTAATCACGACAGATGGCAGTTCATAGTTCATCGGTGGCGCGAACTATGTCTTATCCGTTTTCCATTTATTTCCAAACCGCGAGTGTTAATAGGGGAGAGTCGCCTAGAGTGTACTTGAAATATTTTAAGACAGATTTTTCGTTTCGTTGTTAATTTTGTTTGTTCGTTCGGATTGTGCTTTTCGCGTAACCGTTCTCGACGAGCAGCTCAGGATTCTGTTAGATCCGCAATCGTGGCAGGAAGGGCCTTAAGAGGCATTAGAGTAGATCCGCCCGGAAGACGATGATTTAATTCGTATCGGTGTGTATTTAACCGGCTGCTCGGCAAGTCAAGGATCAGTTGACGTTTGATCATCGAGCGGATCGCATCGTAGTTTTCTGTCACGCGACTTTCACGTGTAACCACCGAGCAGACGTCTGTCGACTGACAACCGTGGGACTATTTCTTTCCATCTGTATCGTGTCTACAGTGCTGTACAACGGATCTTCGTGGAAACATTCCTTTCGATTCTTCTGCTTCATTTTCTCATTTTTTCTTTATCTTTCGATTATTGCGAAAGAAGAGACTCCCGGGATTTCGATAAAACACGAACAGCACGAAAGTTTGTGTAATCGTTTGTTGACAGGGGGTCAAAATAAACATCAAGTACGTGTATTTCTTTGACCGATACTACGCTCGAGATAAACTTCAGTAACGCTATTTCATTTCGATCGCGAACGGAATAAATCTGCTATTAATCGTCTCTGATTTCCCCATGATCTCACTAACGTCGCGTTTCGAGTATCACCGTTAAAAATCCCGCGAGATTCGAACGTGACACCATAAAACTCGAACCACGTTCTTAACCTGCAAACCCAAAGAGCACCTCCCGAGAACACAGGCGTCGAGGAATCTGCTTGAAATATTCTCGATTGAATGGAACCTTTGATTCCCTTCGAGAGAGTCCCATTGACCAAGATAACGTCGAGGAATTACACACGTGGAACAGTTTCTTTGGAGATACCGCTGTGAATTAGTCCGTCCAATGACATTGACCTTGCCAGCTTTTATCCAATAGTCAACGACCCCCATTTTCTGACGGACCGTAATCATCGTCAATTCCTTTGATTCCGTGTTGTGTGCTGATCGCATGAACGGTGTCTAGATCTTAAATTGAGCAACTCTCTAATCTCCGCGAGACCGATTCTTAACCTTAACGATCGTGCCCGCGAACGAGATGCGAAATCGCGTAAGGGAAATAAGATAGATAGTAGCACTTCCAACTACTGATCGCGAAGGACACGTTAATCGCGTTACTGAAGTTAATCGAGCGCGTCCGGACGGCGGTCGCGTTTGGTACACATGGTTGCACCAACCGTGTCGCCCACCATAGGAAATTCCAATGCATTTGTTATGACACCGTGACTCTCACTCGATTCCGCGCGCGCGCGCTCATTATCATCGAACCGATTTCTACCGAAACTGTTGTTACCGACTGACAGGTGCTCAATATCGATCGCAGGGTGCCGATGATTATTTGAAAATAGCGAAAAATGTGGCTGAAGGACGAGGTCAACGATGCGTCGGCTGCGAATCTCGTGAACTCGCGATGCAACGCCCGAAACGAGTAAGTCTTTTTTTTATCCCCTCGTACCATTCTCTCTCGTTGGAAATTCTGTCGTTATCCCGGTCGATCGGTAAGTTACCGACTCGCCTCGTGGCACGTCGTCGGTAGCCGAGTACCAACACCGCATTCGTTGGTTCGATAAACAGATCGAACGAACGATCACAGATGATTCTGTATAAATGAACGAGACAAACATTCGTTAAGATGCGATCGCTTTCACGCTTTATCGTCGCATAAATAAATTAACTTCCACTTCAATTACGCCGAACCGTCGAGATTATGGGTCAGATATGGATCAACGCAATTATCCCGCAGATAACGTATGCCGCGCTTTTCAACGCGATTCTTGTTGAGTACGGTAAATCTCCATTGTAGTCATTACGAAGCGTGCACTGTCGTTTCGTTTCGTGCTTTAATTGTTACTCGTATCATTGGTATGCATGGGAGGTTTTTATCTGGTTACTTGTGTCTCGAGTGCAAAGTGAAAAAGGAACAACAGATAAATTTAAAAGCGACAGCTTCGCAAGGGTGACCGTGTAGGTACGAGCAACCGAAATCAATTGAATTTATCAGGACCCGAAGCGCAGATGTTAGATAAGATAAGCGACTGTTATCCGAGCCTGTCGACCGACGAGGAATCGTAGAGATTGACACCAAGCCAAATCGATACTAACAATTCAAACGTAACCTGTAAATATTCTCGCTGCAAGGGATTTTGGTAATTTGCCCCTGTGCTCGAAAGAAGAATGAACGCTTCGCGAGAGGCTCTGTTCCGGCGAGTTAGCGACTCTGAGATTATGAGGTTGCCGGGTATATTTCCGTTCGAGTCGGGAGATTTAGAAGCGGAGACCTCCGATATGCTTCTGAAGGCTCGAAGCATTGCCATGAACAGGTTCGAAGGGATCGCCGACGCAACGAGTCCCCCGATATTCTCTAGATGTCATTGTTCATCGATCGAGACATTCCCAGTTTATTAAATCAGGATCGTTCGGTTTTGTTGCAGAATTTTTGTCAACCGTAGTCTTCATTTAGAAAACATCAAGTTCTATGGCTTCGACATGGACTACACGTTGGCAGGTAAACCGTCGGGACTGATTCACGCGTGTCGTGGATTCTGCACGGCGGATTGTAATTATTTGTTGAATTATTTTAGAATACAAGTCGCCACAGTACGAGCAACTGGGTTTCACGTTGCTGAAGGACCGCCTGGTGTCCTTGGGATATCCGCAAGAGATCAAAGCGTTCGAGTACGACCCTAGCTTCCCGGTGCGAGGACTATGGTTCGACACGCTTTACGGGAACCTTCTCAAAGTGGACGCTTACGGAAACATCTTAGTTTGTGTTCATGGTTTCGAATTTTTGAAACAGTCAGTGGAAATCACATTCTCCTTATCTTCATTATTCATAGATTATTTCTGTCGACTTTGTCACGTGATCTTTCAAATGTTCCAGTTCTCAAGTATACGAGCTTTATCCAAACAAATTTTTACAATTGGACGAGTCCAGGGTATACGTGCTCAACACGTTGTTCAATCTTCCCGAAACCTATCTACTAGCGTGCCTGATCGACTTTTTTACCAATTCGCCGCAATACACGCGGGAGAAGACGGGAGTGAAAGAGGGAGAGCTCACGATGAGCTTCAAGAGCATATTCCAGGACGTTCGGAACGCGGTTGACTGGATACATCTTCACGGTGATCTGAAATCGAAAACAATAGAGAATCTGGACGAGTACGTGAAGAAGGACGAGAGGCTACCGATGTTCCTTAACAGGATCAGGGAGAGCGGAGCGAGGATATTCCTCTTGACGAATAGCGATTACGTTTTCACCGATAAGATTATGACCTATCTGTTTGACTTTCCGCATGGAGCGAAAGTACGTGTTTCATTTGATTATCCTCTGAGAAACATAATTGTAATACTGTTCGACTGAGGAGCTTATTTATATTTACAGCCTGACGAGCCGCATCGAAATTGGAAAACATATTTTGATACTATCGTGGTGGACGCCAGGAAACCATTGTTTTTCGGCGAGGGTACGATTCTGCGACAAGTAGACACGAAAACTGGTGCTCTGAAGCTTGGAACACACAAAGGGCCGCTTCACACAGGTAAGTCGATACTATATCAGAACTATCGTTCCAGCTGGTTACAGCGGTATCACAGTGTCCTTTATCAGTGCTATTTAAATATAGGGGAAGTTTATTCGGGGGGTTCGTGTGATGTCTTCACTGAACTGATAGGAGCAAAGGGCAAGGATGTATTGTATGTTGGTGATCATATTTTTGGTGATATTTTAAAAAGTAAGAAAATCAGAGGATGGAGAACATTTTTAATAGTGCCTGAACTAGTTCAAGAGCTTCACGTCTGGACAGCCAAATGTCAATTGTTTGCCGAGTTACAGAACTTAGATGTTATGTTAGGAGAAATGTATAAGTAAGTAATATCGATAAACTATCGCCGGGATTACTACCGGCTAGAACAGCGCAAGGTACCGTGTACACTCTACCGATTTGCTATTCAGAAATTTAGATAGCAGCACAAAAGAGAAACCCGACATTTCGAAGTTACGAGCGTCTATAAGGGATGTCACGCACAAAATGGATTTATCTTATGGTATGATGGGTTCCCTGTTCCGCAGTGGAAGCAGGCAGACCTTCTTTAGTAGTCAAGTAGTTAGGTATGCCGATCTGTACGCGGCGACCTTCTTAAACCTTATTTATTATCCGTTTTCGTATATGTTCAGAGCACCTGCCATGTTGGTAAGTAGCAAATCCGATTTCCCTTACGTCCGATTGAAATTTTCTTATTGATTGTCACTGTACCCTTCCATTCGAGATGCCTCACGAAAGTACCGTAGCTCACGAGCAGAGATTCGTAATGGAAACACCGATGATCAGTCGGTCCCGAACTTTCAAGCTCACCGACGAGGAAGAAGAACCGACCAAGCCGTCTGTAAGTAACGGAGGTTCCTTTCCTCGGTCACGAACAGTCGCGATGCTTAACTAATATTTTCAATTGTCAGAAAACATTGTACGTGGAGTGTTCGAACAGTCAGATACCGCACGCGAGGCCTGAAACTCCACGGAACGTAACACATACACACGACGAAGACTGTAGCGATGAAGACAGCGATTCACAGAAGCAGGCGAATCATGTAAGATCATGCTCAACCCATGCTAATTGTAAATGAATTCTTTTCTCGTCATCGTTTCATTACGTTGTGTTTTGGTTCCTACATTTTTTAATAATTCAATCATTAATTATTAAAGGAATTTATACGACCCTGCTACGTAAATGGAGTACTCTAAGATCTTGATCGGATTTA